CTTATCTAAGAATTGTAATAGAGTATTAAAAGAGTGATCTTTATAATTGATTGATCACTGGGTGTTGATCCGTGTGATGTATGTCAGATCCTTCTTAGTGCAGATCGAATGCTATCAACCAAGTCACAATGCTTCCTTCAGTCAAGGTGACTGGACATTGTGTGCTTTATGTTGAGATAAGATGGTGGTTGAAGGTAGTCAACAGGAAACCCTGAACCTATTTTTCGTGCTACTTGACACTCATCAGTAAGGTGTCCCTGTAGTCTTGATGGAACTGATGTCCCTTGACGGATTCGATTCCGTACCACCCAGCATCACAGTCAGAAACGTTACAGATGGGTCGCGAAAGGCTTCCTGTAGGAGTGAGATATATTTTTAATTGATTGATCACTGGGTGGTGATCAATGTCATGTATTTCTTGGACTTTCCTAGTGCACATCGAATTCTATCTTTACTAATACTTATAAGTAATACATATGTATAACCCGAAAGAAAATTAATTAAAATAGAGATCTAGTAGACTTTTAAAAGTTTAAGTATAATAATACCAACATTTATCATCAGAAATAAACATGAAATACAAGGAATAATTGAAGTGATAAAAGATCGTTTGTAGGTCTTTAAAGTTTCTTCAACAAATTTCTAAAAAATATGAAATTTCTAAAAAAAAAAAAAGGTACTTAAGCAAGTATTTAGAACCATTCAAGAGAGTTTTAGGAAACGATGAATTTTGTTCTTCATCATCTTGATTGAACAATTTCTTATTTAGTTATAAATTTTAGTATGTATTGCAGAAATGTTATATTCGGGTCGTCGCAATTGTTGTGCCGGAAAAAGCCGCCGATCACTTATACTAGGAACGAGGGACCTCGGCAATTCCCACGATGAGAAAGTAAGAACTCAAGACTGATATAAGTTAAGATTTATTAGCCCCAAGCACTCTGACAACGACGAATCGAATCTAGTCTAAAATACACCGGTTTATATATTGATTGTACACCCATTTTGATTAATAATTAGGAATAGATCACATACTCAGTTATAACAAATCAATTACTGAGCATAGTTCATGTCAAGTGAATGCAAGAATATCGTATATTATACAGAAGAAAATATTATACTGGGAAAACAACTCAAATATTACACTGAATGATCCTCATGTTGAATCCAAACGGATGTTTAATAAAACTCATAATGAGTAATTCAATCGAAAGTCGACTTTTCTTTCCATCATAACATAATTATACAATAAAAATATACGTTTAGTATTGGTCCATAAAAGGATCCCCAAATTACCATTCATTATGTTTCACGTTCTTCTAAAGTTTTAGGGTCAAGTACTATCCTGAAATAACCTCGTTTTTGATATGTGAATTAACTTGAAAAGCAAAGCTTCTTTTCATACTTCCTATCCCTTCTTTTGAGGTTCGAGTGTATTGAAATTCTGATGGAAGACTATTAAGGGGCTAAAAAGTTTTTAACAAGCGTTTTAGTACTGAGTGTACTAATAAAAAAGTCAGTGACCAACATAATTTGAATAAATGTCATTCAGTCGTTTTTTTTCCAGAATGGGTTTTGTGGAAATTTTTAGAAATCTCACAGGTTGAAATCAGGAGTCAATTGAAGCTAAACCACCATGGAAAATCCGAAAGCACTGAACGGCCGTTTCGTCCTAGTATGGGACTCTTCAGCAGTGCGCATCCACGACCTCGTCCCCTTCGAGATTCGAACCCAGGACCTACAGGTTTCGCGCACGAGCACTTAACCACTAGACCACTGAGCCGACATCCAACGGCGTTAATGTCTAACTTCAACCAGTGCTTCCAGGTTTTTCATGGTGGTCTAGCTTCAATTGACTCATGATTTCAACCTGTGAAATTTCTAAAAATCTCCACAAAACACATTCTGATATTAATCAACTGCACATTAGTGACTGACTTCAGGAGATACTTCTGGAGTTCTAGTGAGAAGTCGTTACCAGTGGAGTTCAGTCAGGTCTATTGTGAGATATCAGCTCACTGAAGACAATGGTGTGCAGTGGGGTTTTTTTTCATTGAGACAAACGTCTTTTTAAAGATATTTTTCAATCACACAGCTTACCACTTTGATCATATATCAACATTGATGAACTCAATTCAAATGCATCATTATTTCTTGTTTTGTCGACAAGCATATAGATAATTACATTGAAAGCTAAAAGAAATGCACTACCACTTTTTAAATTATTCCGATCATGAGCAAATATCAACTTATAAACTATAAGCAAGAGGTAGAGGTTACTTACCTACCACTAATATGCGACTACTAACTAATAAGTAAGCAATAAACTGCACTCTATCTAACCCGCAACTTCCAAATCTCGTACATAGCGTTTTATCTCTAAACAACTAAGCAGAAACCCAATAAGGCTTTGGCAATGGTGTTTCCTTAATTTTCTCACTCGATTCCTTTTTGGTATATAACGCTATATTACTTACTACTATTCAATAATATACATCATTATCCATCATTTTTGAAATCACAGTAACTCATTACGTGTTATAATCGTTAATATGGAAATCAGTAGATTGGTGGGAAATATTTCACAACATTCAATATGAATCTTAAACAAATTCATTCTGCATTTTATAGAATAAATTATAGAGTAGACAATTTCATAAACCAATGCCCAGCTACGTATTAATATCATCCTTTGATCCAAAAGACCTAGAGCAAATAAATAATTCACCTGAATATTATAGATTATTCCATGGACACTTTTAAATCGTAGAGGCTGAAAAAGTTACTTTTAATCAATCCGTGTGTTTTGCAAACTTAGCAGGAAAACCAGGAAACCAATCCAATCTGATACGTTGTGTCGAATCGATTAACAATCCTATTGTCATTTTCGGTTATTTTTCAGCCCTAAACTCACATTTCATCTTAAATATACCACGTTTATAATACACAAAATAACTGCAGAAGTGTAGTTTCTACTCATTTTTGTCTTCTGATTAGGTTCACGAGGATCAGGTATCGTAAATTATGGTCGAAAACCTTATCACAAAATCATATTTTAAAGGGTTTTTTAAACTGTCAAGAACAATGTGTTCAACAGATATTTAAAACACTCAGTTTGAATTCGGTCATACGCTTGATAAAACACCATCTAAACAAAACCCTAGTTTGTTTTTAGGTGAAGGGGTTATATGGAGATTACTTCGATTTTTAGGTGATATTCATCGCATAATGACTTCAGTTGAAGTACTACTAAGAATCAGGAAACGTTGGACAACTGTTGGGTACTAGTATAGAACTCCTCAAGAGCGGAAATCTACAACCCAACGAGCGATTGAAACCAGAACTTCCTAGGTTTTGAGGACAACATTTAATGATTAAAACAGCCGAAATAACACCCGATGCTATTTTCACATATTCACTCGATTTGTGAAATGGTGCGACTATCCTATATCGTTGGTGACATCTGTTTCACTCTTGAAATAAGTGAACTACACTGAGGATTTCCTGACCAAACTTTACGAACTCATCTCCAAGTAACTCACCAATGAACTGATTTTTTGTTAACTACTGTTTAATTCAGTTCTCAATCTTGTGATGACAGCTATCGATTTTAATTAGTGCTGTTGATATAGCCGACAATTCCATATTTTTGACATCCATCTCGTTAATTCACTCTCGAGGCACTGCCATCATAACAGTAAACTCGTGATCAACATCAATAACACACCTTCCAACCAAACAAACTACCTTGACGTGATAGTTGGGTTTCGAGTTCGTAATGACCCAGTCCACCTATAATCGTAGAGACATTTATTCCTTTAGAAACTACCATACCAAGCAAGTTGGTTGAAGGGCAGTGAAAATAAAAGCAACAAACTCGCGGTTCGCAAGTCGAGTAGTACTGCTGAGTATATGGGATTGACAGTAGAAAGGTTTTTCTCTCAACCAACATTTACAACGGGAGAGGACTAGGAAGGCCCTGAAAACAGCACATCACACCTTGCCAAAAGGATTCCCGTCCTCGATGGTAAGGTCTTATAAGTACGGAACAATCACACTTAGAACTATCCGCAAATACGTCGTGCGTGACCGGCCTCAAACAGTTGTTACATTACCAGTTCATCAAGAATACCGGCAATCTAGTTCCTTTTTTAGGTCCCACGATGTGAAAGGTTGGGAAGTGATAATCGCTCTGACAACAGTACCACCTTACTCATTTCATAACAGCAGATACATTCTTCATACAGAAAAACAGAAAGTTTGAAAGACAATTGTTTCAGAAAAAATAAATCAACAGTATGTGGAAGTGAACAGTATTTTGTTGAGACTCATTTAGCAGCATCAGAACTACTCAAACAACAAACAAAAGAACGCTAGGACGTCCAGTTGCTGAGAACCAAGTAAAAACTTCATCCTGGATTTTCCAACTATCCACATTCCAAGTAAACTGAAACACCATTAAAAGACAATTTGCTCAGGACGCACATATGGCAACAAAGACTGATCAGTTACAGTCCTGAACATCAATAACGAGAGATTACAACCCCTTAATAAAAGAATACTATTGCTAGCAACAATAGAATAAATTTGCTATAACACGCGCTGACAGAGAATCAATGCTGATACACTTCCAACACACAAGCTCGGTTACTCTAGAGGAAAGATGAATAGTAAGAAAAAGTTTATTTGGCTGAACCAAATAACATGTATGTGTACTCATTAGCATACACATACGTCTGTCTCTTGGGTAATCAAGCCTATCAATGGTTTATATTTTATCCATTAAAAACGAAAGCTATTTCTTGGACGATCATGTACATACATCATTTGATGACTTCTGATTGGCCCACTGTATCAAAATCCTATATGTACTGTTGAATAATTTACTCATTTAATTACAAATGTAATGCAATCACGTAATGGTTCCTTATTGTTAACCACCCCCCCTGTGGTCTCCGTCCGAAACTTGTCACAAATAGAAAACAAGAAAAGTTTTTTTTACAAAAACTATGGTAAGAAAAATAAAACTTTGTCTACAAATGATTTTCATAGGAAAAAGAATGATAATTCAGAGTTTTTGCTAAAAAAAAAGAAGTGTTACACAATCAAACAATAGAAAAATCAAAACCATAGAAAAAGAACGGAAAAGAATAATTGAAATGCCAGCATACACATACACACAGAAAATGATTCAGTGACATGTACACATCATCTTCATTATGTGTCTGAATGAACTCCTATTTGGGATTCATAGAGAAGAATATACGGTGTGCGTGGATGATTGATAGAAACGTTTAATGCACTGTGATGTTGATTAGATGATGATGATGTTATTACATGTTCAGGATTAGTTTGAAATGTTTTTGGTTTTTTCAAATGAAGGAATATACAATTTCTTGTATCTAATGGATGATGTGTGGTTAGTAGGAGATTTATACTTTCTGCGTTATTTAACACACAAGCACGATCATCATCAAAATAGATAAATGTGGAAGAGTTGTTGTTTGATTTTTTCAGGGGATTAGTTATACGCACAGCAATTGTATAGTGACCTGATTCAACTGTTTCACCAACATGAAATATAACAGCTTGAAGACGATAATTACGTTGTGAATTACTGAAATGTGTTTCCTGATTTAAAATTTCTAAATGTGTAAACAGAAAGAAAGTAAAAAGGTGATGGATGAGATAATGGAATATATATATGTGCACAGGTCCGTGTAGGTAGAATAGATCAATAGTAATGTCTCAGATTGTGAAGCTATGTAATCCAGTAGTCTGGGTGATACGAATTCGAATCCCATAGAGAGTATCATTTCCCTCAAGACTCTAGATACAACTTACTGACGACTACCGATCAGCATAAAACTAAACTATGCGGTCTCCTACCGACAACCTCCAATAATCCAACATCTGAACACAATCCCTTAGACTACTGGTCACACTGTAACTTAATCGATGAAATTTGACCAGCACCAAAACAATAAACTAACGTGATATTCGTTACTACACTTGGTAAATAAGAATAATGACAATTTAGAGTGTTAATTAAAATGAAATCAAACAGGCTCAGTCTCGTAAAAATACTTTGCACTTACAAAGTGCAAAGCACATACCATATCTACGGACAACGTTCTAACTAATTCGGTTCGAACAATCTAATAGAGTCTCATTAACCCTCCAATATGAAAACATGACTCACAGCTGAGTCCATAAATCTATACTTGGTAAATGAGAGTGACATCATATATCTATGCTACTATTATTAAAAAATATACAAACGCCAATCACCACGTTTCAAACCTACCTTTTGGTATAAGAAGTTTAGATTGGATATTAACTGATTTCAAATGTTTACGAATAATTACAGATGTTTGTGATGTAGTAGAGTTAAATTTATTTACAGATGTATTAATATTTTGTACATTTTTCACCTTAGATTCATTATAAAATCGTTTTAATTGTATAATTAAGTACGGTGGAAGACGATCTATCATTGATCGACGACGTACCAATGATATTTGAGAATTAGAAGAATTATGATAATCTGTTATTACTTCAAGTTCAGCTAAATACCGTAAAGCTGATTCAACGGAATTAACCTGTGAAAAATGATATAATTTGTAATCAAAATGACACACATAAAAGTAGGCGAAATATGTCACATCAAGAAAAAAAGGAAAAAACAAGCATATGTAAATATGAGTAATTTTGCTAAAATAAAATCTCATTTGAGTCTCATATTATTAAGTTTACCTAAGGTCAATTTATTAGCTTAAGAACACTTAATATGGATAATTAATGAATCAAGATAACTGATTAACCATGTATTCACTTAGTTATTTGAGGGTCAATCACAATAATTGGAACGAGTGAGGCCAACGTACGTGTATGCCACAGCTTTACGATGATTATGACCGACTGACTGACTCTATTGATCAAATATTGTGAATATAAAAGACAGCTTTATATTATTATTCAGTCAATAAGTCAGTGTTTCTGTTCTCGCAAAATTTATTCAGTTGTGATGTATTAATCGGTTACACGTAAGAATTACCAGTTCGACTAGTAGAAACTATACTGTACTCCTGATCTTATAAAACACTGAAGATGAGCATAGATCTTTTGTACTGCTAATTGGCCAATGAGTATAGAATTTATATTCTTAAGAATTTAATGAAGCTTAAATACAGTTTTATACAACTTATGAGTTATTTAGTTAGTTATTTTAACACATAGATATTGGTACAAGGAGGCACCAAGTAGATATGCGCCACATAAATCATTCGATTTGCGTGAGGGCTGTGATACTACTCGGGTGCCCAGACCGAAGCAGGTGGTTTTCTTAGGGGACCACACCCCGAGCCTTTGACCTTAAGGCCTAACCCACAAGGCAGTGGAGCACAGTGAGGAGATGCAGTCCCATGGTAGCCGGTGACCAACGATTGGTTCATACGCCATTTGTTCCTTCAGGATACTGGAGCCCATATGCAACATTGGTTTGGAATCCGACATTCGCTTTCCGTCCTCTCAATTTCGTAAACACCCCTGGTGAGAGAAGGCAGTGATTAGGACGTCCCCGGCACAAGATTTACTCTTTTTTTCTATCTTTAAGCAAACATTTTTCGTTTTAAAAAATTATTTATTCAAGATTATATCAGTATATGCTTCAATCTTTGATTAGGTCACAAATACTTTATCATAAATGATCTCTCATAATACAGTGAATTCATTAATAATGATGACATGATTTAATTATGATTTTGAGTAAATGCAAACTCTTATTTGAATGGAATCCAAACCAGAAGGACTAAGTGATTCATCATGTAAATTTGTTATTTTCACAGGATGATTGTACAAGAAACTGCTGTTTTTCTTCTTTCTTTTTTTTAAAAAAAGGAATATCACATCTACAATCGATATCCTAAGGTGAACGTTAGCTGGAATAAAAGTATAATAGTGTAGAGTACGAATTTGAAAGATTCTTAAACTAAGTGCATGAACTTGAAGCCACTTTCCAGTCAACATAAGCAGAGAGTTTTGTATAAGTCAAAAGACATTCACAGCAGAAATAACGGAACTTGTAAAAATTTAGTGATTTTAGGAAGTTTCGTTTTTTTTTTAAATCCTTATTATCAGTATCCTGATTTTAATATTGTAGATAGATCTCTACATAATCTCAATTCGAATATATATATATAATCACCCTTAAGCTTTGTTATATTGAGATCATGGATAATTTTATAGGAAATTCATTAGCGCCTAGAAAATATTAGACTAATTAAATTTGCTTAAAAATAACATAAATAGGAATTATAGAACAACGTTATGAGGAAGTTTAGTATGAAACGACCATCCAGTAGTTCCAAGCTTTTAATGGTAGACCAGCTAAGATCACTTCACGAATTCAATTTTGAAAATACTACAATCTCCACACAGCCCCATATTAATAAAGAGATATTTTCTGTTTGCTACGTTATACTACTAAAATACGACACGACCGCTGAAGAAATTTAACTAGTCTTAGACCAGATACTCGATCGATACGTAGTACACAGACAGGGATCACATTATACTAAATATACGATTCACGACCAAACATAGAAATATCGAGTAATCAGACTAGAGATAATACTTTATTCAACATAATTATGAGCACTTTAAACTCAGTGAGTTCAGAGAAGAAATCAATCAATAGGAAACGGAATAAGATAATAAATAATTAGTAGCTAGTTTCTATTTAGTTAGTATCCTATTGACGCTCAGTGGTTAATCATATCTCACTTTTACTAACCATAAATTAAATGACACGAAGTATTTCCCGTAACAGTTGTACACATTCTGAACAATGTATAAAAGTATCTCTATCAAGTATTTTACGATAAAAAATGATTTATTTCTTGAATTTTGTACAAAAAACTTGATAGTTTTCTTGATTATGGATTAGCTCATCGTCATACTATACTTCTAACTAGAACTACAACTCTATATTTAGAATTCTACTATGACTTTGCACGTCAACGTATACACCATTTGTTTGTTTTATAGGTCAAGTGTATGTGTGCGTGTGTAAGTTGTAGTCAAGTGATCACAGTAGCAGAAGCAACTACATCATGGTGATAGAAAATTAACCAACACAGTGCGTGGAAATATTTTTTTCAAATGATGATACAACGTACAATCTATTATTTGACGTGGACTACTAATAAAACATGTGTGTTATAAATGGAGCGGTATAGATTAGTTCCGAATTATGATTTCTCAATTATGGTGCGTTACCCTTTTATAATTTATATATATTATCATATGAGTATTTGAGTCATGCAATAGAAAGTAAACAAGACGAATTCTCTTGTGATCTAGTTGAACAGGCTGAAAACAGAAAGAATTTTCATGAGCTAATAAGAAGCGTCAGAACAACCAGGTCATTAATTATTTGTTCTCTAGTCAACAACATAAACATTTTTACAACAAGGGGGTACCAAATATATATGCGCCACACTTCATCATTCGATTTGTGTGAGGGCCGGGATACTCCCCAAGCGCCCAAACCAAAGAGGGGTCATTGCAACAGTATTGGAATAAAGTGGATTTATCACTGGTGGAGCCAATAATTTAGCGATCCTCTCAAGTGAGTACATAGAAGTTGAATTCATAAAAATACTATGTCGAGTATGGGACATTTATTTGGTGCATGTGATTATTATTATTATTATTATTATTATTATTATTATTATTATTATTAATGGCTTTATTCAATATAATATTTTTGGTACAATATAGAATCCTCAGCACAAAGTATTTCAACAAGTTTCCTTTTCTTATTTCTTGATCGACCTTTGAAATAAATATTCAGTGATCGCCAGTTAGATGTAAGCAGTTCAGGAATCGACATCTGAATAATGTTCAGTCCTTTCAATCCATATTGCCAGTTATCACAATGTTGCTGATTGTAATTTTTTGTAACTTGTACAGTGAAAGGTAGTAAACTTTTTATAAACGCACCTGAATAAGTTATGCGATTAACAGACTTGTTGAAATATTTAAATGGCAGCAACAGAAAGCCCAGGTATTTAAGCAGGCTGCCTGACAGTTTTGCAATATCGTGAATTGATTGAAACTAGGCATTAACACACTTGGATACCGAACCAGTGGTTTAGAGGCTGAGTTCATGCGCGAGGTCATGGAAATCCACTGTTGAGGAATCCCGTACCGGGACGAAACGGTCATTTAGTGCTTTCAAGTTCTCAATGGTTGCTTAATTAAGAACGGTTAGTAATTTAAACTGTGAAAACAGCATTAATTAATAGAAACTGACTGGAATATGGTGAGTATGAACACATACTTACTAGAGGATTGTCTATAGGTACATGAAGCATGAAAAAAGGTTCTTTGATAGCAGATTTTTTGGCATGACTATTTACAGTTGAATAATTATGAACATTGTAACTACTATCTGATTTGCTTAGATTAGAACGAGTTACAAGTGTACCACAAAATAATGAAGCAATAGGACTTTGACCACCATCAAGTTCTATCTATAGAAAATTGAAAAACAAATAAGGAGATAAATTAAGATAAGAAATTTTACTTCCCAGCTGTAGAATAACAAATTTGCCCTTACTGGTTAACTACTTTAGTAATTTGATTTCAATAAGTTTGTATTATTATTACAAACGATGTGTATATACTTTGAAGAATTAACTTTTGATCAATTTGCAAAGAATAATACAAGAAGTTTCATTCTTTACGTTTTGTTATTTGAATTATTTAATTTAAACACCTGAATTAAGTTATAGACCTAGAAAGTTCGTATTACGAACAAAGATCGTTTCACTTTCCTTTATGATAAGTTGTATATAACTCCCAAAAACTAAAGCTGGTTGAAACGAATTTGAATTTCATAGGGAGAATCTATCCACTCAAGATTGCAAGTACGCTTTTCTGACAAGTATTAACTTTGCGGTAAGAATGAGATGATATTAACTCACCGGAATGAAATTATGTAGTTAAAAATTCCAAATTTAATTAATACATAGAACAGCGGCTCCGTGGTTAAAGCATTCAACTTTTAGGCATTAAGTCGCAGGTTCGAACCACTTACATATATTCCTATTCAAGCAATTAGATTGTATATACCGTCACCATTACAGAAACTTTTGGGGAACAAAACAGTCGACTTTCAGAAAGCGCGTAAAAGAAAGATAAATTCCACTGAGGGACTCCAAACAACTCGTGATTATGGTCTATTCTCTCCCATATAAAGAAGCTTAAGAGTTTGTTTCAGAAAATCTATGATACTCCTGTAATCCATTAAATTTCTACATGATTTACATGAAAACTGAAACGAAATTTTGTAATTCGTCATTCGAACTTTTTATAGCTTACACTAGTGTGTTATGTACATGATTGTTAGATACAAACGAACAATACTTTAAGTATTTTGGGAATTCTTGGCCAAAACAAACATGAGTGCTTCAACTTCATTTCATGAAAACGTCCCACAATCTTTATATAAGTCATAATCTAATCAATACATCCATGAAAAAAGATTGGCAATAACCAAAAATTTTAGTGACAACAAACTTTTCTAGCTTCTGGAAAATGTTTGCCAGCTCGACCAGTAACTATCCATTCTGAATCATTTTGACTTTGATCTGTATCATTCAAAAGATGTACATCTGTACTCTTAGCTACCGCTGTACAACCCAGTTCTTCATGTAATTGTGTAAGCAGATAAGTCAAGCATTCCTGAGTGAAAGAAATAAGCAAAAAATTAAACTTGAAGTTGCTCACAATATCACAAGTATAATTTATTATCAATCAGTCCCCAAATGCCCTGGCACCGCCGAGAGTAGAAAGAATTCACTCTCCGTCTTAAAAACCCTTCATATAGTTGTGAGTTGAAACCCTTTCCTAGAGAGTCTCTATTCACTACCTTAATGAGCTGGGAATGTTGCTTGCAAAAGTGAGAGAATCCAAAGTGAATAGTGATTTGAACCGGGTGAGTGGATTGACCTAAGGGAATTGGAAAACTCTGATTTCAAACCAGTGATGTACATGGGCTTCAGAATACCGAAGAAACGAATGACGTATGAACCTATTTTTGGTCAGTAGCTACCGTAGAACGTCTCCTGATGTTACTCTATTATCTTGTGGATTAGACTTAGGTTTAAGGAATGATCCCATAAAAGATCAACTACTTCCATTAGTGCGACCGGGCAGCATCCCGGCCCACACATAAGCTTATTTTGTGTAACACATACTAACTTTGGAGCGCAGTTATTCCAAAGCTTTTTTATGAACTAAACAATAATAATAATTTCGATGTTCTCATTTATTAAAAGAATACTAGAAAAGAAATGCAACAATCATAATCATAACTATGAAATTTTTTCACTAGATTGAAAATGTTTGAATACTCAAAAATCCGAGCATCAGTCCATACTATATGTGAGGCATTGTCCAAACCGAAGTAAGAGAAGTGAGACTTGAATGTGCGATTTAGTGTCTATAATTCGAACGCGTTAACTACTGAGACACTTCTTCACTGTAGAATGGATAAACTTACTGCTGATATACACACAAGCACACAACAGCTGGTTTTCACCTAACAGTATACTAATTTCCGTATTTTTGTTCTTTCTATTATTAATATTATATTCACTTTAATTTCTCTATCTCTTCACAACCTCACTTTAACCGTGAGGCGTACATATATTTTGGTGCCTTCCTGTACTAGTGTTTGTGTATTTAATAATAATAATAATAATAATAATAATAATAATAATAATAATAATAATAAAAATAATAATAATAAGAAGAAGAAGAAAAAAAAAGAAGAAAAAGGGTATTAGCAAGTTAATCATACTGACAAATATATAGGAATTATAATCTTTAAACGTTGAATAAATTGGCCCATATTTCTTATCACATGAAATACTGCTCAGTGAATAAAATCCCCCACAAAATAATGATTGTTGCTAAACTCAGTACTGATTATAAAAACAGGCTTAACATTTCTAACGCAAAGAAACATTTCATACAATCAACTGACCACCTATTCAAACTAACAATTATAACGTAAACACTCTGAATATCATCAACAGGCGGGAGCACCAAGTTAATTAAACCGATCAAATTAAATAAATAGTTCTGAATGATTTAATAGGACATAACTGAAGAACATAACACATCTGGTTATCTGAATCTAATTAAATGAAGGACGGTTCGGGCATGTGGTTTATAGATTGAAAATCGAATGCCTCAGTCACTGAACTTCATCACACAAATAAAGTGCAACTCAAAGCCAAGAACATAAACCTGTGTTTCAGTCGTGGATACCTACTGCTGAGGAGTCCTGTATTTGGGAGAAACAGCTGTTCAATCCTTGCTAGTTTTCAACAATTGTCTAACGAAAGTCTATTCGTAATGTAAACTATGAAACTCAACAATTGCTACAAATCCCTTACATAACCTTATATAACCCTTATATAACCTAAACAAACGACGAAGAATACTTTACATAAATCCAATGTATACTTACAGCGGCATCTTCTTGAAAACCTGTGTTCATATGAAGCAATTTTCCAAAAATTGGGTTCGGTGTAATCAAATGTTTTAGCATGAATGGTTGTACACCATTAGATTGTGACAGTTTATAAGTCGAGGGAACAGGACTATTCGAACTGCTGCCCACTCTTGTTTTGTTTGCATGAATGACATTATTATCAGTATTATCATTTTTATTACCATAACCATTACAACATTGAGAAGTATTATTTAGTATGGTTTCATTCTCCGCTACTTGTGGATTGAGTTTTTCAATTAATTCTAACCTATGGGAGATAAAACAGGATAATAATAACAATATAAATATTTATTTTCACAGATTGAAATCATGAGTCAGTTGAAGCTAGACTACCATTGAAAACCTGGAAGCACTGGACGGCCGTTTCGTCCTAGTATGGGACTCCTCAGCAGCGCGCATCCACGACCCCGCACCCCCCGGGGCTCGAACCCAGGACCTACTGGCTTCGCGCGCGAGCACTTAACCATTAGACCACTGAGCCGGTGTTAATGTCTAACTTTAACCAATCCACGAAGTTGCGCTACCGTACACCATTGTCTTCAGTGAGTTCCTATTTCACAACAGACCTGGTTGAACTCCACAGGTAACGACTTGTCACTAGAACTCCAGAAGTGTCTCCTGAAGTCAGTCACTAGTGAGCAGGTGATTATTATTATCAGAATGTGTTTTGTGGAGATTTTTAGAAATTTTCACAGGTTTTCAATGGTGGTCTAGCTTCAACTGATTTATGATTTCAATCTGTGAAAATTTCTAAAAATCTCCACAAAACACATTCTGATAAAATATTTATTTATTATTTCTTTAAGTTATATCTGCAGAAACATTGATACTTAAAACAGAAAAACATTGAGAACTGTACAATGTAAAAAGAAAGACAAAAACTGATATCAGAAGAAGACTTTCTTTACTCTTCAGGAAAAAACAAACAAACATGGCATCAACCATGTTAACCAGCGTTTGTTAATCAGTTAACAAATACTAAACATAATCAGACAATAGTATTTATTTATTTATTTATTTGAAAACATAAATACTGGTACAAGGCAGTACCAGATACATATGCGCCACACAAATCTCATTTGATTTGTGTGAGAGCTGTGATCCTTCCCGGGTGCCCAAACCGAAGCAGATAATCAAACAATAGAGGAAATAAAGAAGAATAAAATTTACACTGAATAATTGTAAAACATACAGTAGTTTCGTTTTGTTTAAGACAATGAAATTTATGTATTATCGAATACATGACATTTTGATTTATTTGTTTTTACTAAATATTACAAGAATGTTTTTTTCTTAAATCCCGACACAACTAATAAATGGGAATAGATACGCCAGGAGATGCGTTATTATTGCTATAATCAAGCTTATCATTTGTTTTTATTAGGGGATCCAATGTATTTTTCACAGAAATTATCACCTATGTTTAAATTTGCCGAAAAATGAATGCCCAATTAGCACACACACACACACAAAAGTTATATGCATATATTATTCATATAGTCTGTATAAGTTTTTGCATCTGTCGTGTAATGACGAAATGCTTCAGACATGTTGAATAATCAACGGATCTAGCAATCACATTATTTAGGTTTTAAGTAGTGGAACAGTAGGTTGACAATTAAGCTCGTGTCTTTCAACCAGTGAACCATAAATTTGAACCCATTCCTTCGTCTGCTTCATTATTCTGTAAATTATTCACATTTGAAATGTGCCACAAGGTTGAGTACATGTATACGTACTTTATAAATTAGTTGTTTCAATATTACGAGATTTCTCACCTTTATTTAACCGTAAATTAACTTGACGATTAAAGAAATGTTTTGATCTTTAAAGACGGTAGTTTAGTTCCTTAGGACCATACTGCTTTTTGAACTTCAAAGAAAATTTAACGAATCAATGTAAAATAGTTTCGTTCCCACTCTTTCATTCATTCAAACTATTTGAATGTTGTGTCACTGAAGACAAAAAACACGGAAATAAAATATGGTTCAGTCAGTTATAATCACTTTAGATCCCAGTTTAAATCCCAGCCTAAATTGCTATACTACACTATTGTGGTAATGGTTAAATGAAAATTCCTATCGCATTAAAATACTTATTTTCATAGTTCGTTGTTTTGTTCACCATTTACATAAAATATTCATACAATTGATAACCGGGTACTACTATCACCCTTAAAGCTGTCTACCATACAAAATATTTAGTTCTCTTCTATACGCCACCATTATTGCCCAATACTACAAATTGACTAATGCTTAGGTAATGTCTTCTAAGTTGATTCAACTTTAATATTATCAAAAATGATTAACTTATTGTACTAAAATAGTCTAATAAAGCAAAAAACACTACTAGTTTCTAAATGCCTTCTCATATCTATCAAAAGTAGAATGTAAACAAACACGGTGTACACAATGCATAACTTGTAGTAAAACATTTGGGTAGCGATAAGCGCAGTATAAAACTAGTAATCTCTGTGGGAAAATGATTGGTAACGAAATATCTGATTCAGAGAAATAATGAACATTTCAACGTAATATTATGACCTCCAGGACGATATCCTAGTATATTTCTGAAAAGTAAACACTGACAATAATGTCCAGATTCTTTTACCATCAATACAAAGCTTCCAAGTGTGAAGGTTTAAATAAAAGGTCAACTAGACGAATGGAAGGTAAAACTTACAGTTGATCTGTCAAAGGGGTTTTCTTTCCTTGAACGTCTGAAGCATGGAAAGTGGATTCAGCTGAAGAAACGCATATACCGCGAAGTTTATACAAAGTTGAACACAAAGTTGGAATATTGAGTAAGAGTTGGAGAGAAGCATTAAGGAAACACGAATTTCTTACATTACGAAATCCACACGGTTCAATGTACAAACTATCGATATCGTCTAAAAAACAAAAAGAAATTTGATGAGGGTTTACAGTGGTCAGTTAGTCATATACAACTCAGAACCTGGCGCAAACTGGCACCGTCAGTTCATGTCTGCATGCCTCACATTAACACAATGGCATGAAATTATCAAGACAAAATAGAAATAATAACCGTATCAGTAGTATATACACATATATATAATTAACTCACCAAAAACTCGGGCATGAGTCACACTCGACATATGATACTACCCGGTTCCTTAAACTAGAGTAGGTAGAAAGGATTTCGAACCTCGGTCAGGATGTGAAAACAAAACTAAAGTGACAAAAAATCACAAGTTTTTGTGTTTATCTTTTAAATTTTCTTGTATATCTCTACAGCTCTCAAGAGTAACAGTACTCAGTTTAGGTTTTGCGTCAACTTTGGATGAATGGAACAAATCAAACACAAAATACTAAAGATAAATCACGAGTGAAATTCGACTGTTTTAACAAAAACAATCTTTATCTAGAACTCCATAAATAATAGTATAGTAAGTAATGGTGAAAAGTCACTTGGGAAAATGGCGAAGTACTGAGAAACAATAAATCTACACTCAGAATGAGTAGGCTATAAGCAATAAATACGCATAAATAGTGAAGCAATCTATAGATTACTAGACTGTTTTAAATTAGTGAGTTTAAAAGTGGCATTTGCCCAAGTGTAATTTCTCGCTATCCGTCGAGGTTAAAAGTTTTCTCAGAAGCTAAATGACAAATGTCATTTCACTACCAAGCAAACTCTGAACAAATTACTACTTGCTACCAATTTTGACCTTTACATACAGTGAATTTAGCTGGAACCTCAATAAACAAAGTTACATCTGGTTAGCAAGTTCTGGTACACCCGATGGAATAAACAAACCGGTGTCCATTCAGAACGCTACTTCACGACCGCGCCTTCATAACCTCATCCAGAAAAAATCTACTGTGTCTGAGCGTGGTAGGGGCTATTCTAATCAAAATGAAAGGCTGACGGTAGAAATCTGGTGACTGAATTGAGTTAGTAGAAGTAGATGGCACAGAGCCCAAATTCAAACTAATTGTATGCAAGATCCTCAAAATTCCGATAAAATCTTTCTCAACACCCTCCTAATTTAAACTACATTCCAGCTTTTATTAAGAGTAATTGGTAGTCTTTTAATGGATATTTCATAACTTATTAAAGAGACATATTTCTGCAGAATTATGCAGCCTTATCATAGTGCATGGAACACAGGATAGTGCGTGAAATATGATCCTAATGTATCTGGGAATTTTATCATTCTTGTTTGAGTTCTAGATGAGAAATAAGTGCATGAAAAAAAAATTAATCCTCTTAATAAACAATACAATAGGTTATACGTAGACGAAAAGAAAAAACTCACTGCGATAAGATTTATAGATTAAACCTCTCTGAATCCACTTCGAATTTAAAATATGATTATTTTATGTTCACTTAACATCCATAAAAAATAGAACAATCATATTTTAAAACTGAAATAGATTCAGAGGTTAAATCTATACACAATGCGTTTATTTGATGCTTTAGTTTTAGTTAACATTCAGCCCCGAAATAGCCTGGTACAGTAGAAGGAGAGTTTGTTCTCCCTCTCCAAATGCTCTTACATGACCACACATATACAGCCACTATCAGGGAAGTCCTGCTTCCTGTATTCTCTCATCAGGAGTGTTGCTTACGAAATTGAGAGGACTAAAAGTGAATGTCCGGCACCCTAAACGGGTTAGTGGATATGGAGGACCCACCTAGCAGAGTTGAAAGACCAGGATTCCAAGTCAATGATGCACATGGGTTCCAGTATCATGGAGGAACAAATGGCATATGAACCTATTGTCAGTCACTAGCTACCATGGGACTGCAACTCCTTACGCTGCTCCACTGTCTTGTGGGTTAGACCTTCAGGCCAAAGGCTCGGGTAGAGGCCTCTTAAGAAAACCACTTGTTTCGATCTGGGCACCCGGGCAGTATCACAGCCCTCACACAAATCAATGATAACTACTACTTGCGTCATTGTTATTGTGTGGCACATATGAATTTGATGTTCCCTTGTATCAACGTTTGCGTTCAAGTAAATAAATAAAAAGTTAACACCCAAACTGTTTAAAAACACCTGACCAATTATTATACAAAGATGTATTGATGAAATCTTTGAAATGAGACATAGAATTAAAAATTAAACCTACTTTTTGAAGCAGTATCAGTGGAAAGCGACTGAATGGACTCTGTCGAACGCTTTGAAGTACGAGATTTTCTATCCTTGGATTTTTTAATTGAATTCGAACACTTGTTTTCGTCGACCTGGTAGAGTTCCGAGGTTGATTTTACATCCCACGGTTGTTTTTGTAGATCAGAAGACCCAGTAAGCTGAGAAAATCTGCTCATAGCCAATTATGTAGGAAAAACGACCACAATATATTACTAGTGAGACTAGTGACGCTAAATTTCCGAAAAGAGAAAAGTATAAAACCATGGGATCAAGGACGCATATCATTATGAGGATATACTAAAACTCCTACAACTTTGTAATTATCTTTCTCTATAGCTGCATATTTATACCTTCCACTTTACAATCAAAATCATCGTGGGCTTTAAAACCACTATAGTGAGCAGCAAATAGCCGATAACCCTTTTCTCTTATCATGGCTAATTGATGTGACGATCACAAATCAAGATGCTGACGATTTATGAGAAGTGGAAAAGCAGATTTTAAAACAAGGGATGAGAACTTCGATATGAATCATGATTCATTTCGAATTCTTTTCCCGCTGAATGTATCATGGCGCTGAGTACTTGCATATCTGTGTATTCTGAATGAAGAACGGACTTAATGTTTTATACTCTATATGTAAATCTTCTTTACGCAGTGGATACGTGATGGCAATAGGCATCATTCCCTTCAATGGGAATGGGTGTCAAAAACAGTGACGACGAAGTGTCTTAAGGTTCATATTCACCAAGCTAACGGGAATTAATTATTTACTATTAGTTAAGAGAGTAATTTCAAAATGGCAGTAACCTTAAAACACACTTATGACATATCCACCCTACAGCCCGTTATGCAACGTGGTGCAACACATATGAGACTAGTGACCTTGAATAGAAGAAAGGTCAACTGATGAAAATTCAATATCTCTACAAAGAATGACTAAGTCGATTGGTTCTTTTCTACTCGATTCTTCCTGTTTCGCTCAAACTCCAGGTCTTTCATTGGCTATGTTTACACAACATTCCCGGATCACATCTTAGAATAAACAGTTCATCGTACAAAGCATTTCGTTTGTCTAGTGGGTAAAAGATGCATTTTAAAGGGTTGTTATCCATGACGATGTAACTACACATCCTATACTTTGATAAATTCATTTTCATTACCTTACATTCTAAAGTGAATGATGATGGATACCTTTCATCACATTTGGTCAGCAGGTCTATAAATTGTACATTCAGTGGGTAGATGCAATAAAAATCCAATGCGTTGTCCATTGATTAACTCATAGTTATTGTCAGGTACTCTTATATTTTCTGTAGGTTCGATCTTTACGACCCGCAGGTTGTGGACTGGCTCACGTAGTGGTGTTTGCACTCTGTTCTTTAAATCTGCTCTTGCCAGTGAATTTATGTGAAAACGTTTGTGTTGTATGGTCATCAAAGTAATTACAAAGTCAAATTTATCCGGAAGACTAGTTTCACTTTTTATTTCATCCAAAGATTCAAGTTACATTGTCCCAGAATTCCTTCGATTGTGGTTCTAATGTTAATTGGCACAAATACGGACACAGATATTAATATTGTCCACAAACAGCTAACTGGTATTTGAGTTGTGAGAAAACCATCCTGGAATTATTCAGTAGTGCTATTCCACAGAAATAATAATGTTTACATGATATCCACCATTGTGGTATTTATGTGAACTGATGATTACTTTGTAATAGATTTTCAGCTTATTACGAATTTTGAATATAATACGTCCACCTATTTTATTCTAGTCCTATATGCATTAAAATGTACAATTTCGAGGGTTCTTATTTGATAAATCAACTTGGACACTTCTTCTTACTATATCGGTTTTGCGATGAAGTTTGTGACTGGACTGTTGGACATACTTTCAAAGACTAAACTACTTGAATTCTAGAATATGTTCAGGAAAGACGTTAGAGTCGATAAAATTGTGGCTCAGTATTCAGTAGCAATGATAAGAGGCCAGTGGATCTATGTTAATCCTTCCACCTTGTTTTACAGTGAAGATTCAGTTTCTCATTGAAAATATTCGTTGATGGATCTAGCACCACTTGTTCGAGCAGGATTTTTGAGTCACTGTCTACTCAATGAGAAAAATGGAACTCCTTTTCTGAGTTTAATTGATCACAGTCTTTGAACCAGAGATGATTAGTTATGGAGGGAGCAAAATGATAGGACATACTAATATCCAAATCATTTTTTTAAAATACAGAATGCCGATATCAGGTTACTTAGCGTTCTACGATTTGACAAGCGAAAATGATTTTTGTGCGTTAAGTGATCAATGTAAGGGAGTTGGGATAAGACCTTAACTAACATTGAACATACCCGAGTGTGTTATTATGACATGAACTGGCGACTTCGACACAGAGCTTCATGTATGGTCTAACAAAAGTTGGGTATAAATCAGTAATATCCCCTCATCAAAGCACTTGAATGTTCGATTAAGTGACGTTCGAAAACCTTTGGCGGCTGCTACTTTGAAATATACAGTTATTTTTAAGTCGTGACATACTGTTATCCCTAAGTCTTTGTGTTCTTTCATGCATGAAAGCGATGTACCTTTGATAGTATAGTAATAACTATTGCCGTGTCTAATGAGCATTACCACGCTTTTTCTAGAATTTATTTCCAAGCTCCAATTTTGAATCCATTTAACTAACTAGTCTAGGTCAGCTTGGAGATCAAGATGATCAGCCTAACTACCTACTATTCCTCAGATTGTGACACCATCTGAGGATAGAAATGTCGATTTCTAAAGCAGTCGCGAAAATTCATTTATGTAGAAAAGAAAAAGTAGGGGGTCTAAAAATGTACCATAAGATACAACAATTTGACTGGCTTCAATCCGTACAATGTCTCACTAATGAGTAGCTTCCTGATAGAACTCTCAAATTTCTAGCGAGAAGCCGTAATCATTGGAGCTCATCCATGTTAGGTATAGACAGATATCTACCTCAGACAATGGAAGACGGTCGCACTATTACGTCGATTGAATGAAGTTGGACACCAACAACGTTTGATGCTGTCTCAATGGTCTAGAGTTTAAGCGTTCGCGCACTAACCTGAAGGCCCTAGGTTCTAGTTCCTTTTGTGTTGGATCGTCGATGTGCACTGATGAGAAATGCCGTACTAGAACGAAACGACCATCCGATGCTCCCAGGTTTTTAATGGTTATATAACATTGATGGATCCATGATCTCAGTAAAAAACTTGACAATCCAATACCAATACCAATAGTATCGTATTCACGATCATTCCATATCTTCGACCCCAAAGGAAGCGGCTTATCCATTGCTGTACGGAAACTGTAATTCCAAACATTGAGAGCTTATCATTAAGTCCGAAATGATAAATCTTAACAAATTCTTTGATGAAATCTATAAATATCACATTAATACACCAGCTGTTACCCTGGGCAGTTGAATAATCCCATTAAGCGATTAGTTTATTGGTCCAGCATGAACGTTTATTATGAAATACGTGTTGCTCAGGGGTTCACAGATTTTACGGTTCTATGTGCCTGAATTATATTTCAAGTAACATGATCATTCTGCTAGTAACACTAACAGATAGGTATTTATACGCGTCCATTACCTATCCATATCTAAATATAAAGCCAAATATGACACCTGGTACAACTATGGTTTATTTCGATATAAGTACTGCTATAATAATGGACCTCATCCTAAAATTGTAGATTTATGATGATGCAACCACTTAATCTATAATATCAAAAGTGTAAGACACATCAATCTCAACACCAACACATTACATCGTAACAATAACAAATACAGGATGAAGAACAAACGTAAGCTAGACATATAACGATAAATTCGTTATGAATAAAAGATATAACACAATACTCAAGAGTGATCACGCCTGCAAGGCCGACCCATGCCACTCGATGAATTTGAATTTCGGACGAATTTACTTGTTCTTCCCGCCTTCTCCATCGTTGAGTTTTCCCTCGCGTTAAATGTTGGATATCTGTTTCCCTAATTGTTTCGTATTCAGCTTTGAGGATCGTGTGGTCAGGGTCCAACGCCACTACACTACTCTCCCACCAGGATCAACGTGGCATTGGTTCAATACCAAATTGAGTGGGATTGTTGTGCACAGGAGGTTACCATGAATAATAAGAATCCTCCGGGTATTGATAGGTTGAAAGATAAATCAAAAAGGAGGCGGCAGCAACTGATCGGGAACTACATGTAATAAATTCAAAATGTCTGTTTTACTGCTTAACACGCTTGAAATGAAAATTTAGGTGATTAATTGGGCTAAACAAAGTGAGATTATAGTGATAATGAAATGATATATTAATAAGTCGCCGTCAGATGCGTAGTAACAACCGTCGGTTAGTAGCTCAACTTATACTGAATACAAGTATTTTGTATTCAGAAATATTGAAGATAGTCAATATTGCAGGAATGTTAATATTGGTATTACTTTTGGTATAAATTGTTAGGTCAAATAAGGTTTATTCCAGTAAGCTGTCCGTATAAGTTGATTTTCCAATTGCATTAGTAGGCCAACTGAAATAACAAAAGCATTACCGTAAAGAACAATTCCAACTAGTGTTCCAGTTAGTTTGATACGGTTTATTTAGTTACGGGGAGATTTTCCCGACCTCAATTTTGCTTGACCGTGATAGAATTTAGTAATACGAATGATAGATATGAGTGGTTATCAAAAAATTATTTTAATACTTGAAAAGCGATAATTATGTGAAATTTAGACAGGTAGCTAAGAACAATTCGTTAGACATGAGCGTATTTGTGAGAGACATTCTTTAGACTCAACGTTCTGATTCGCCATAGACTATCTATTGATATTCATACCTACCGGCTGATGGTGCATACAAGTATCAAGTTTCGCATAAGTTAGTTACAAATATAGTGATTATGAATTATTGGAACCGACAAAGCCTATGTGCCATGAACCTAGGTGTTGTGGTGTTGCACAGTGCTTCCGGCTAAATAAATCTTTACATGATGATAAACAGTGAGTGATTATCGGGAAGAACGTAAGTTTTAACCAAGAGGCGTACACTCCCAACCCATTTCTATGATAATGACTTGAACCTTAGTCAGTGTTGGGGTAAATTCGACAGTGTTTCCTGTCAGCAGGAGATTTGCTCTACTGCTTATACCGATAATTTGCATGCATGGTTGTGTCTCTAAACCTCCAATTAGACTGACAAGGTTTTAAAATATTTACTGGATGAGCAAACGATAGAGAAACATATTGAAATCATGTTTAGTGGGTAAGGATGATGAAAAAACAACATTATTTAATGATGATTACAAGTCAATTTGTTGACCGTTTCGTTAATAGTTCCATAAATTTTATCAATCATATTACGTGATTGTCAAGTCATGACAATGCTTTATCACGACATGCAGAAACCATTATGCTTAACTACCTATAGTGTTGATTGACGATTAGCCAGTTAAAAATAGCTATTGTTGTTTTAGGTACTTCGGAAATAGCAGAAGTTGTAGCGTTAATGAATCTAAGCTGCCTGATTATATTACAAATGGCAGTTTAGCAATATTCGTTTAAATAGTGTTTATTTTAATAGTAGGCTCTGAAGTTTTGATTTTAAATGTTTGTTTGACCAACAGTTACCTGACAGTTTAGTTATTATACTTGTGCAGTATGATAATACCCAGATTTGGTGACTTTATTATTATGTAAACTGTGTCCGTCTTTTTAGCCAACTAATATGATGGACCAATTCATAAACCCGAATATGTAAAGCAATAACGACTATGATGGGTTTATTGAAAAATGTTAAAGGTGATTCAAAAGATTTTTAAATTTAAATGACAGATATATAATGCAACGAATGTACGGGCCAGGTTAACATGCAGGTTAATGAGATATATGACAATTTAAATATAACAAACATGGCCAGAAAGATAATTTTAAAGTTCAGGCTACTTTTGGAATTTCAGGTAGGAATATAATGAGCTATAATCTTTCCATAAGCAGTTCCTGCATTCAGCCTAGAGACATTTACAAATATATGGCAAAAGCGACCGGAACTAGAATAGGTCAAATAATTTTTTTGAATCTAATATGTTTTGTCTTTAAACAACACACTTTTTAATATTATTATTGGTCGTATCAAGCTATTAAACATATCTTATACCAAAAACGGTTTGGGAGTGGTTCGTATGCAATATATACGACTAGTCTCGGTGAAAATATATACATATTAATTACGGTAAATCGTCCAGTAACCTAGTTGAACTCGCCTGGATTATTTTCGGGATTTAGAATATTCAATAGATTTGACATATATAAGGCCATTCGTGACTAGTATCAATGATCCAAAAGCATCCAGAATTAATACGTGGTATGGCAACTAATTCCAGAGTGCTTGGTGCTGTTGACCTTTTTGTCACTCGATGGAGTCAGAACAATTGAATGAGTCCGGATAATTATGTGGCTGTCATTGTATGAACCATCTAAAATGATCTTATGTTTGTGAAAAATTCTGCGACTTTATCCCTGTTGTTTTGCAATGGAACTGAAAAATTGGAAATTAGACAGGTAGCGATTGGAAGAAAAGATAGTAAAGCGCGCCGACTGGACCCTGAAAAGCAGAGGCTGGCAAAGAACAACCCATGAGCATCTCTGTTGCACATGGCCCCTGTAAAGGACAGCAACGATTGGCGTCCAACTGGTGACTATCGGCGTTGAATGCGAAAACCATTCCCGATCGTTACCCGTTGCCTCAAATTCACGATTTGACAGCTACCTTGAAAGGTACAACTGTCATTTCAAACTCGACTTGGTTAAAGCGTATAACCAAATCCCTATGGCTACTGACGGTATTCCAAAACCGTCACCATAACTCCTTTCGGACTCTACGAACTTTCGCAAATGCCCTCTGGTCTAAGAAATGTTGTGCAAACTTCCCAAAGTTTAATAGATGGCGTTTTTTGAGGTCTCAGCTTCGTACATGCGTATGTTGATGACTGCCTAATAGCAAATCCGGACAGAGAATCTCATCTTAAGCATCTGGATCTTGTTTTCAATCGACTACAAAAACATGGTATTACTGTAAACATTCAGAAATGCCGAATCGGAACTAACTCCTTAGACTTCCTAGGACACAGTATCGATAGGTAAGGCATCCGACCTCTTGAAAGCAAAGTGGATTACCTATAACCGACCAACATTAAGCGTTTACGCGCGTTTAATGGCCGTGTACGTTTCTATAGACGGTCCATAACAAACTGCGCGTCACTTATGTAACCGTTCATCGACCAACTTCGTGGAAGTGCGGAATCCATCAATCTGGACTAAACAGCGCGTAAAGCATTCTCCAAAATTAAGGAACTTGTCGCTTAAGCAACAATGATTACACATCAGGACATTGAATTACACATTATTATCGCAGTAGACGCATTCGACTCAGCAATCGAGGGAATCTTACAAAAATGGGTAACCCACTCCTGGCAACCTTCAGCGATTTTCTCTAGACGGTTGCTAGACAGTGAGTCGAGGTACAGCACGGCGACTTATTAATATATCATTTCATTATCACTATAATCTCACTTTGTTTAGCCCAATTAATCACCTAAATTTTCATTTCAAGCGTGTTAAGCAGTAAAACAGACATTTTGAATTTATTACATGTAGTTCCCGATCAGTTGCTGCCGCCTCCTTTTTGATTTATCTTTCAACCTATCAATACCCGGAGGATTCTTATTATTCATGGTAACCTCCTGTGCACAACAATCCCACTCAATTTGGTATTGAACCAATGCCACGTTGATCCTGGTGGGAGAGTAGTGTAGTGGCGTTGGACCCTGACCACACGATCCTCAAAGCTGAATACGAAACAATTAGGGAAACAGATATCCAACATTTAACGCGAGGGAAAACTCAACGATGGAGAAGGCGGGAAGAACAAGTAAATTCGTCCGAAATTCAAATTCATCGAGTGGCATGGGTCGGCCTTGCAGGCGTGATCACTCTTGAGTATTGTGTTATTTTTTTCATATTAAATATATTGCAGTTTTCAAAGTATCCATTTTATTGATGAAATGTATCCAATTACAAAATATAATGAAATGCGTCGGTTCAACAAAAAACTGCCAATTTGATATAAAGAATTTTCAAAATATTTTTTCTCTCTCCCATATATATTACGATAATATATTTTTAAAATTAATCGTTATACCAGAACGAGAATTAACGACTCAAAATAGAAAACCAGAATGACACCAGATAATGCTTCATTCAATACAACGTTACTCTTAGTGAGTCGAAAATAGAAATCAGTTACAGGGAGGGGAATCACATATCTAATGGTCCGTTTGCTGTGACTGTTGTTCACGCTCAACGACTAATCATATTTTACTTCCACTACTACACACTAATAACCAACAGCACCACAGAGTGATGAAAAATCTTATGTTCATTAATTGCACTATAACCAGTACTTTGATATTTCTGTTAACTTAGTGTATAAAAGCTACATTTAAATAGACGTCAGCTGAAAAAAATTGGAGTGAATCTAAAAGCTGTTGTCCAACAGTCATCTACGTGGAGATATTTAGACGGATTCACAGTCGCTTATAAACAACTGAAAATAAATGATTGACAATGAAGAAAGTTTGAGTAAGTTAGCTAGGTACCTGTGATGAAGCTATTGAATTCATAATTATTGTATGGTACCAACGGGTTTATCTAGGCTATTACACTAGTAAGCCTAAATTTAAGGAGTATACAGATCTTCAATAAGACTGAGCTTATATACAGTCAAAAATTCCATGGATGAACTATATATGATATTCCATTGTCCTAAGCTCGATAACCACTTTTAATTATCCACTATCCACATAGTGGCAACATCATTCAGATCTAGTAACTATACCACCGATTTGGGCGACCTGCACAGAAAGTTAGTCTACTCGGATTGGACTAGGGTGACCCTTCAGTTTGTGTCGATGTCACACCTCGCGGTTGATGTTAAACTGGCTTATCCTATAGTGATAATCAGACGAATAAAGCAGGATCTTGTAGCGGCAATAGTATTTGCTAGTAACAGATTTTAGGTGGAGTGGGACCGCTGACTCATAGGCCTTTGCGTCATCTCGTCGATTAATCTGCGTTATCTTTCACTCAAACAAGGACCGCTTATCTCCTCAATATTCAATGATCTAACGTAGAAACGAACTATTGGCATTGATGTTTAGCTAGGATTAACTCGGTTTTCACGGGCCTAAGACCAATGTACCAGCCCACAGGCAAATAAACTTTTAGACATCACCTAACCTACCACGCTACACTCTGTAAACGACGCCAAATCACACTAGAGAGTAGCAGAAAGACTCCCAGTACTTCAGGCCTATCTCCACATATTCTTCAGCTAGCCTAAGATATAATTGACATCCGGTAATTCACATAATACCAACTGCGAAACCAACAAAGCACCTAGACTGTTGGTCGTTGTAAAGGTATACGGGTAGTCGTAAGTTGCGACTAGAAGATAATGTTTAGTCACAGCTAATAAAAGAACTATCAAATTTACGGACACTCGTCCGCAAGAGCTTTGCTTTCAGTGAGAACCTTCTTGAAAATCTTTGTGGCGAATCTTGCTTGCATGCACATTCACACTTATGCAGTTAGACATCATAAAACCAACACAATAATAAACGATAATCAACATAAAAGTTTTGCCATAAGCTCCTCATATAAAGTCAAAATCGAACTTCAGGATACCAGCACCCATTCAAAATAAAAATCACTGAGTACAATCATCCGTAATGCAGGAGCACTATCTAACTTCTTTTTTTCACTACCAATATAGCTTCAAAACTAACAGAGAACTTGAAAAAACAAACCCGTGAGGTTTACCAAACAAAGTCATCTACAAGAAATACCCTACAGAACAATAAACAAATATCGTGGATTTACAATACAAAACAGTGGAAACATATATGTTCAGCTCTCATCACATTACCCACCAGTTTTTCATTTAATATGAAGACAAAAAATTTGTGCAAAAAAGCTACATTTTAAAAAATCTTATCAAATGTCGAACTAGCAAGACGCATTGGCCAGACCAGTATTGTACGAACAACTTATAGAACTAATTAGTAAGTGAATAAATAAGTGTATATATACTCCTAATAATCAATACATGCTCATTCTAAAAGTTCCATTTCTTCACCTTTATTAGGGTAGATAGATGAAGTATCAAACAATAGAAAGTGAAGGAAACATACGCACACATAAAGAGAGAACATGATATTGATTCTATTGAAAACTGAAAAAAAGTTTACTAAACATCCTTCGGCACTGGTCGATTTTTGTAAATAATCTTCCTAGTTTTTATATCTGACCAATGTTTCCGTTTGTATATCCCCATTATTACTAATACAATGCTCGTAATTACTATTGCCTGAAAATTAGAAGAAAAAACCAATTTCAACAGTTTAAAAGTAGCACATAATATATTTCATGTTCTTTTTTTAAAGAAAAAAAAGAGTAATTAGAACAAGTGATAAATATTTACAACAATCTATTGTCTTTAGCTTGATTAATTTTCTTTGGAAATTTTCATGGACTTATAAACTTTGAGCCTTTTAATGAATCATTTAGTCAAAAATAATACATAACGTGGTCAATCAGTCAGCTAAAACGTAAGACCATGAACATATATGTATCGGTCCAAGTTGCCATGCCGCATTAACACAGCAATATGAACACTGGATTCATAGGAGTAGTTAAGTCAATGATGGTGATATATAAAAGAAAGATCGCATATAAGGATATAGTACAGAAAGAAGGATTTAGTACGTAGAAAGAAATATATGAAGCGATTTTAATCTCTTAGTTTAGGGGAAGACAGGGGGTGTATACACCGACGCCATTGTGATCGATTCTGAGCCATGTCCTCAAGAGTCTCCAAACATTGGTTACGATAGTCACGCGGACCCCAACTAAGTATTCTGCATCTACCAACATGGCTCAGACCAGAAGTTAGTGACTTCAAGCACTGATGACACGTTTTGGTTTGGCCGTCCCACATAACGTGGATATAACTATGTATCAGCCTAATATATTATAATTTAAACTAGAAACAACATAAAGTGAGAAAAGAAATTGTGAAGATGGAAGTATTAAAGGAAGATAGATTGTGGTAACAAAAAAATAACAATAACATAATTTCAAAACAAAGAACGGAATCAGTTGATATAAAGTTTAGGATTACAATAAAACTCAAGATTTAAACGATACAATTTTATTATTACTATCTAAATTTGAGCGATTTTGTTTTTAACAGGTCAGATTAATAGTCAATGACTATATGAATTGGGGCTACGCTTTTCAAATGTCTTACAAAGAAAGACTTGATCATATCTGTTCATTTTCTCCTAGTTTATATATTAAATTCAATTGTAGTTTTGTGAAGTTGCATTCTTTAAGATGAATGGTTTTAGTCGTGGAGTTTCCACTGCCCTTCTAGTGCAAAATTATTATCAACTATTTGAATTTCTCTACATATTATTAACAGGTTTATCTGTCAACTCCGAATTTGATTGATCATTATTAACATTTATTCCGTAGTTATTTTTATTGTCATTCCCATAGACCTTATGACTGTTTATAGTTTTTTTATTAAATTGGTTAATAAGTTGATTTTATTGATTGGTGAATGATCGGAGTCCCGATTTTTTCTGGTCTTCTTTGTACTGACTTTGTTCAAGATTTCAATATATTTCAAATCGGATGTGAATCCACAAAAATCACAGTGAGCTAATACAAATGAGGGTTCGTTGTGATGGTTGAAATTTAATTAGTTTTCATTCAGAAGAAGGTAGTCATTCTTAGGTTGAATGATCAAGTGATCTTATTGAGTTGTCAGCGATCCCTACTCTCAATGGCCTTAACAATTTTTGATATATACATATATATATATATATATATATATATATATATATATATATATATATATATATATATATATATATATATATATATATATATTCTGGGACAACGTTGACAGCACACTAAGACGCCAAATAGATTTTAAAATGTCGAAATCATTGAACTATCTCTCGATAAACCAATCCAAGATTATGATTATTTGGCTGTTTTTAAGGCTTGAAAGTATGAAACTTTAACTAGAATATACATAATATTTTATATAACTCAAGAGTATAGATGATGGTATATCACGTCTCCTTAAATGAAACTTTCCATCATCATAACATTAAACTATGCAGATAAATGTAGATGCATTTTTTAAGATCTATTTTTTAAAAAGTCATTTCAAGAAAATTCCATAAAACAATAAGACATAATTAAATTATATGGAACTAAATAAACTTCCATTATAGCTCCAATGAAACATTAATATGATAAAACTAAAACCACCCCACATTACCTTAAGTAAAATACGTTTACGTTCATCATGAGTTCGATCAGAAGTCCAACAAAGAAATGTTACTACATCTTTTGCCATTTGACTAGTTGTAGCAGGTGTTCCATCAGCATATTCAATTAAATCATCATACAATACTCTTGCCATACCTATACCACCACCAGGGAAATAAGGATTATAATATTGTCCATCTGAAACTGTACGACCTGGTGGAGGATCCATATAACCTGTAAGTGTAAAAATATAAATACATATTCACAAATACAGTTAGTCAGAAGCGATGTAGAATGTAGAATACAGGCAGATCGGTTAAAGCTGTCACACCAGATTATCAAGACAATTTCCAAAGTAGAAGTATTGACAATATCAGTGGTACTAAAAAACATTGAATATAGACAACATAACTTGAAAAGAATGGATTGGCGGAATAAAGCATGAGATAATTTTAGAACTCAAGATTTAAGGAAAAACAAAGAGTGATTGCATCTGTGCCTTTCGGACTGATTCTGAGCTACATCATATAATGTCTCTAACCATTGTTTATGATAATCACGAGAATCCCAATCAGTTAGTTTTTAAATGATAACATGGCTCAAACCAAATCAATGACTTCATGGACAAATGTCATGTTTTTATTTAGACAGACTTAGCCTTCTTGGATTCTACTCTTACAACAGTATTGCAGGAAAGTCCCCACAATAATAAGGGAGCGAGTGAAAAGAGTGCACGTCAATAAGGACGACCATCAAAAAACCATATGTTAGTAAGGGTGAGCTTCGGGAACGGGAACAAATTTTTTTTAATGTGGTTGGTTTACCGTCTATCAGTTTGCCTTTAGGATCACTCAAAAACATAGTTTTTGATAGGTTTAATGTACCACTTACTTTCAACAAAAGCTGTAGTTTTTCGAATTAAGTAACAATCATTCTTATCACCATAGTCATGTTATCTTGTACATCCGTTTTGAATAGGGATTCAGGTCAACAAACGAAATTCTATAGCAAATAAATATTCCCAAAAAATATATTTGTCTAACTTTTATTCAAAGGGAATTAGATTAGTATAGAAATTGAGCTCCAAATAAGGACCAGCACTGAATTTACCTTTCTCACTCTTAAGTTAATTATCACCTATGAATCTAAGTTAAATAACATAACTCCAGTTGGATTTATCTATGTCCTGGAATAGAACGTAAATTAAGAGAGAAAAAATTATCTACAAGAATTTACAAATCACCCAATAGAGCCGTCATTTAGTCCGTTTCAAAAATGCCTAACAAATGTTAGAATAATCTGTTCCGTCAAATAATTCATATTCACACTGGCGTATGCGTCAATTGATGAAAGTAATTCGTGAATATGATTGTAAAATGTTACTCAATAATTACTGGAAAGGCACATTGTCTAAATCTCACTGCTGTAAAACCTCATACTAATTATTAAGCAGGTCAACTTGATTCTTAGCTTTGTTGTTCAAAATAGATGTACAATATGACTAAGGTAATAAGAATGAAATATTGTTACTTAATTCGAAAAATTACAGAATTTTTCGAAAGTAAGTGGTACATTAAACGTATCAAAAACTATGTTTTTGATTGGTCCTCGAGGCAAACTCACAAACGATAAACCGACCACATTTCAAACTCTTGAAAATCCTAATTCCCCCTTCTCGATCCTCACACTTTTGAATGGATGCCTTCCAATTAAAAATAGGAGGCGATTCACTCTATGTAACATATATTCAAACCATGTCAATTAATGGAGATTAACAATCTCAAACCGGCTTACTATCCTTACCTAGTAACCTAAGTCTAACCGTAACATCCTTCATCCAATGCTCTCAGCATATGCGAACAAAACACAAACACACTGTAACTGAAATAATGAGAAATGCTGTAAATTCGTCAACTAGTGTTGAATTCTTTTAGTTGGATGGGTTAACTACGTAACATTTATAACTTCATGCCCGACATTATCAATGCCAGAAGTCTTACACTCATGTTAGTTTATTCTAATGAATTTACTTGTGATTGGTTGATTTCAACAATGCAATAAACAAACCATACATGACTGGAATGATTTCTTCTTACTATTTTGATTAATGGAATGTGTATATCAAAATTATAAACTAATCCGGATGTCAGACGTTTGTAAAACTTTAATTTTTAGAATTCCATCAGTTAAGAATTTTGGTACTTTATAAATTGCATCTATATCTCTTCTAGTAATTTACACCTATTACAATCAGTGACAACATATTGTGTTACCTAATTATCTAACAATGTTAACAGTAGCACGTTGGTAGAAAGGATATTTATGTTTTGTTAAGTTATTGCTTTTCGCAGTTGTTCTAAATGTTGACATACTTATCATTCCGTTATTGTATTTATTGATCCGTATACAACTGTAGATGGAATGGGATGAGGTAATAGTGTAATAGTTATTAAGCAACACACTAATTTCAAATGGTCTCTAAATCTTTGCAATGATTTCTAAAACGTCTTTCTGAGAGGATGATTTCCGGATGATAGATTGTCTTGTTAAACATGGATTGAAGTTTCAAGAACGCTTACTCTGTTTACATAACAGAAATAAAAGAGATGAATTGCTTAAAGTTTTCGTTAATTAGGAATCCTGCAGAAAGCCTCTGATCTTATGAACAGTGTGCAAACATAACTAATTTATATATTGTTGAGTTATGACAGTTGTAAATTTTTGTTTTTCGTCTCTGTAGCTTATCTGTTTGCCCAGATATGTCTCGCTTTTCAGAAAATCACCGAAGAAATAAAATTTGTCATCTAATTCTTTTTCCTTCATACATTTCATGTTGTTGAAAATATTGTCGGTTAGCTTACGATTTCTAAATCTGTCTCTTACGATGTATATGAATGCATTGTATGCCTTATGGATTCAAATCTTTGAAGTTGATTGATTGTGACAGGAAGTGGCTGAAGTGGAAATCAACATCGCACAGTGAGATAAAAATTTCTCTACTCCGAATTTTTCTTCATACTCCTATGTGATCGAAAAAACTTTACCGGGAAATCTATTCTCTACTCAATAGAGGAAACTATTTGCTCAAAGATGTACGTAAATAGTAGTATTTTCCCTAAATATTGATTCTTTTTTAGTTACAGAACAGGCTGTCTTGTGATGTTACGCAGCTAATTGTAATGTAAAGATCTAAGGGTAAAAGTTATATTTTTGTTGAGCTCACTAGTAAATAACACCAAGGATATTCCAGGAATTCTAGTAAGAAGCCGTAACCAATAGAGTTCAACTGTGTTGGCTATGAGGCAGTTACCCAGAAAAGACAGTGCAAGACGGTTGCGCGATATTGCCCGCTGATTGAAGTTAGATACGTACATCAATGGGTGACGTATCAGTAGTCCAAAGGTGAGGTGCTCGCTGCGAGACCTAGATGTCCTGGGTCTAACCTTCATTGGATTCGAGGATGCACACTGGCGAAGAGTCCCATACTAAGACGAAATAGTTATCTAGTGCTTCTTTATACTCAACGGTTATATAGTCAGTTTGCGGTATCAATACAGAATTAGTAGAGAGAAACAAACACTTTTCCAAAAAATTACCTTGACCATATTAAAGAGGGTTTCTTTGTAACACGTTCTATTTCTTAAACTAAATTAATTGAAACACCAACCTTAACTAAAAAAGTTTTCTAATAAATAAATAAAGTATTCAGCATTATAAGTTTACAACAGTTACTTAGTGAAATTTATGTACCTGTAAGGAGATGGAATATATAATTCTCATTACCCTCCCGAGCTTTGACAATATATGTCAGATCCGGTGGTTCTGCGCCGTTATTAGCAGCACGCGCTGCTTCTTTATTCGGATAAGGAGATGGAAGTACATCAGTTAACCGACCTGGTCGTTCAAACATATTTCCCTTATCGTCCGGTCCATCAGGATACATATGCTACAATGGAATTATAACAGATAAATAATAAGTCGTTTGTCATTGTTTTCTTCTATTTAAATCTTATATCTGTATAATTCATTAATGCTTACATGGTAACATATAGACAATACAGAGATACATACGGCTAGTTTTTGAAATGTTTGACTTTTCAACAACAATTAATATGAAAAATCTAACGGATAACTAAATAACTATTTTTTTTACAATTATAGTAAATCACCAAATGATCAGTCATTGTAACTTTCAATCCTTAAATTTATAAATAATGATGCTAGGACAAGAATGTTTGGCTTTATATTACCACTAAAACAATAATTGAAATAATTAGGTTATTTTTTATGCAGAATCAGGCATATATGTTGCATCGGCTCAAGTTTTCACAATACTTCAACACAGAGAGATGAAATTATTAAGATAAACAATTAAGTAGTAGAATTAATAGTGGTAGTTGTATTAGTGTTGGTAGAGAATGTTAGACACAGAGAACATGATTTTAGATAATTTGATTTGGGGAAGGAAGAGAAAAAATAATCTTAGAACTCATTACGTAAGAAAATACAGTGAGCGATTGCATCTGGGACGATTTTGAGACATGTTGCCCAATGTCTAGAACCATTGCTTGGGATAATCGAGAGAACTTTAACCATGTGGTCGCTACTTATTAACATGGCTCAAATCAATGGTCAATAATCTCATGAACTAACGTCAAGTTTTGGTTTGACCACTCCTAGTTGTCTTCTAGCCTACTCATACGCCACTCGGCATTGCAAGTAGAGGTAGACGGTGGTTGAACATACGTTACATATATCCCAGAGACAACTTTACTAGTGTCCTGAGTCTAGCCACAATAACCTAAATTCGATGTTCCAAACATACAGTCCGTAAATAACAATACGAAAGCTTACACTTTTCATGGCAGTGACATCTTCTAAACCAAAACTATGAACATTAATTTTCGGGAAAATTGACATCAAAAGCATATATATATACAAATTCCGACCAAATCTGGATTGAGAAAGCAGGCTGTACGAAGAGAGCATCGATGATCGGTAATAAAAGTTAAATGAGAAGTCATTAAAACAAGGAGCCAATAGTTAAGCGGTTTCGGCAATCGACTTTTAGCCAAGCCACAGGTTCGAACTCAATTACATCTAATACGACTTTAGCAACTAAGTAGTATCATTATTCCTCATACCTAGATGGTAGCTTATACCTAAGCACCTAGTAAATGAGCCTAATTATTTATCAGTATAGGGTTATGACGATTAATAAGTTATTGATTGAGATCATGAACCAAATGATGTCAGACCACCATTGAAAATCTTGAAGCACTGGACAGCCGCTTTGTCCTATGGTGGGACTCCAGCAGTGCGCATCCACGATCCCGCTCGCGGGATCCGAACCCAGGGTTTTCAGTCTCGCGCGCGAACGCTCAATAACTTGATATTCTCCACAACCCTATACTGAAAATTACCATGTGCTCACTAATGACTAGCTTCACGAGGGAATTATCGGAGTTCTAGTGAGAAGCCGTGACCAGTGGAGCTAATCCGTATCGGGTAGAGACATGAAAAAAGACTACCCTACTCGGTCTTTATCTATAATTATTGAAATGGGAAGACTTTGTAATTTACAAATACCCCGACAAAATCCCCATCCTGTAACACTAGAGAACTAGCGGGCCGCCTTGCCGAGTAATTTTTGAGTATTATTTTTTAATAGCCTTTTGTTAAATTTTAGGGTGTATGGGTTATTACTTCTTGGTTTTAGATGCCCTTAGTTGGAAAACAAACTGCACGAATTCAGTGATTTAGTATGTAATTAACATTTGAATGAGCAAACATCAAGTGACGCTGGTCATCAGTTGAAAATTGAAATGTGGAAGTATATTATACTGTCTTTTTGAGGGAGGTGGATATAAATTATAACATTTATGATTTGAATCTACATATATTTTTGAGCTCTATTTCTTGGAGAAATTTCTTAAATGTATTATTATCGTTTCTAAATTCCTCATAAGTTCATTTTATTTTACCAACTTATATTTTCTTCAATCGCACTTCCATACTTAATCTTTTCTATTACCATTAATATTGTTACTACCTCTACTATTTTTTGAACATATTCCAAAAAACCTTCGAACAAGAGAGAAATACTTTAAACAAAGCAATTACTAAACATCTCTTGGATACAAAACATCGGGTCGACAACTTGCAGTTTTTCAATGCGATCATTAAACATTTAAACTTCAGTGTTCTGAAGTCTGCTGAAGCCATTGCTATCAGGTGTTATATTTATTTGCTTAAACATGAACATTGGTATAAGGACGCACCAAATACATATGCGTCACACTTCATTCGATTTATAACATTAGTAGATACAGTCCAATTGTAGTCGGTGACCAATGATGGGTTCATATGCTATTTGTCCCATCAGGATCCTGGAACCTGTGTATATCATTGGTTTGGAATTCAGATTTTCCAGCTACTCGAGGCCGATCTTCCGCACCCACCAATTCGGTTAAAGCCCCAGATATCCATTTCTTGTCTTCTCGATTTCGCAAACAGACCCACCGTTAGAAGGCAGTGAGTAGGACTTCCCTGGGAGTGGCCGTGTTCGCGTGGACTTTTCCAACCCTCGGCCATAACAGGACATTTGGGGGCGTCATAAACCTGATTTATGTGCTTAGAAGATGATTGTTAATCTTTCTTTACCTTGGTTAATTACATCACAACGTTTTTTTATTTCTTCTGTATTCTAAATTATTAGTCTTATTTTACTAACTTTACTCGTTTTATTCTTACTTATTACCAAAGTCTACTCATTACGTAACTAATTATTTCTGTCCCTTTGGACTCTTGTTAGATCCAGTGTTGTAGAATATCCTTTTATATATATTCACAATATTTCACCCTTGCTATACTATAATGATGTCTACAAAGTTACTTCTAACTGAACTCGTTCATGTTAGCGATTTAAACTAATTTTGTAATTATGATTTCCAAATACCACAGGTTGTAAGCAGCTGAAGAGAACCAAACGAAACAAAATGAATCCATGTTATTCTGCTCAAATCTTTGTCCTTACTCTCTTCAAGATGATAAAGGGAACTATATGTGTGAAAAAGCTCTACTATCCTGGGATTTGTCTTAATTTCTTGCTGTGCTAAGAGGTTAGGAACTTAGACCTATGTAAACATACACCAGGTTGTACTGTGCATTTCACTGATTAACAGATTGTTATTATCATGTTCTAAAATGTAAACAGGAAAAAATATCAGTGGGATGGAAAACAATTCAAACACTATGACTATTCAGCAATGAGTTAGCAGCATTCACTAAGTACTTTTATGAATCAACAAACAAAATCCGCATTCAGCTTACTTCAGCTGCATCCGCTTTAGCCTCATCTTCTGTGAGTACTGTATTGACTAAATGTCGATAGTTCATATACTTCAAGCTGTGACAAGCACTACACACTTCTTTGTATACTTGATAACCTCGACGCATAGAAGCATGATCGTAAGAAGATATTATCCCATTGTGTATCCAAGGTAGTTTCGCAGGATGAGCTTGTAAGTCCGATGCATATACAGGTACAGCTAAGCTTACAATCCCAATGCCAACAACTCCACTTGCAATTGTAAATTTCGTCCAAAGATAGTATTTAGATGATTTCCAATATGGTAGATTCTGAAAAGATAACCACTAAGAAATGAGACACTGTGCCTTAGTTATTAACCACAATAAACAAACAAAGGGAAGAACATTGTACTGATCTTTTAGCATAAGTAAATCTGAAATTTTTACAATTTATGAATAGCCATGTAATTGTTAAACTTCATTAAAATGTCGACTTTTGTAACCAACATCTCGAGTATTTCGGAATATTTTGTCCCTCCCCCAACACACTACAATATAGAGATATTCGCACCAACAAACTGTTAAGGTTTGCGTACATTGGTGTAAAGAGTAGAGATGGTATCAACTACGAGTGTAAAGAGTTGGAGATTAGCGTTATTAACTAAAGACAGTTTGGTTTATGTTTTCTTGGACCTATTAACATTTGTACTCATCTACTCTTGGTAAATTGGTTTTCAGCGTATTCGAATGAGCGAAAATAAACCACTTCAAAGTACTTAATTATTTGGGATATATCTTTCAAGCAACAATGGACTATGGTAAACTTTAGTCCCAACCAAATGACTATCCGTAATTCATACTTTTTTAGGAGATAAAATATTATACTAACAAACAAACAAGTTTAGCTGTAGTGCTCCAGCAACTTTTCAACTAGTTCTCTAATGAATTATTTAGTTGACATAACTCATTAAGCGAATATAAGTTTGCGAGCACGGTTTTTAGCTACACTTTGAGTGAGAATGACTAATATTACCCGGTTACCTAAACTGAAATAGGTAGAATGAGACTTGAACTTATGACCCAGTAGTTGAATTAAATGTTTTAAGTGCTAAACCATTATTCAATACTTTAGTACTAATACTCGATGTCTTAAACTCGACTAACGAAAATTCTACAGAAACACATGTAATGACGCACAGACTTAAGTTACTACACCCTCACAGTTACATGATGAGAGAACCAGCAACTGGATAGACAAATGAGCAACAAGAAAACACGAACTGTCTGGGACCTAAAATAAAAGTCAAAAGCTTTACGTCGATGTGATCACTTTTGAGCTATCATGTTGAGTCCCAATCAAATGATTTCTTGCAAACTTAAGTCTGGGAACCGATGCATAAAAATGAAACAGATAGCATCTGGCGAATGGCTGAGTTTATACATGTCCTAGCCCTCAAATGCCCCGGTACGGTCGAGGGTGATGAGAGTCAGTCTTCCCTCTCCAAATGCTTTAATATGGCCACGCGTATACAGCCACTATCAGGGAGGTCCTACTCACTGTTTCCTCTCACCAGGGGTGTTGTTTACGAAATTGAGAGGAAGAAAAACAAATGTTCGGTACTCTAACCGGGCTAGTGGATATGGAGGATCCACCTAGTAGAGTTGGAAAGCACTGATTCCAAACCAATGGTGCACATAGGCTCCAGGATCATGAAGGAACAAACGGCGTATAAACCTATCGTTGGTCACCGGCTACCATGGGGACTTCATCTCCTGACGCTGCCCCACTGCCTTGTGGATCAGACCTTTAGGTTAAAGGCTCGGGGTGTAGCCACCTAAGAAAACCACCTGCTTCGGTTTGGTCACCCGAGCATTATCACAGCCCACACATATGTGAAGTGACTTGTGTGGCGCATATGTATTCGGTGTCCCTTTGTACCAATATTTGTGTTTAAATAAATAAACACGTCATAACCCCATTTTATACTATATAGACAATTGAGTTATTCCGATTCCATTGAACAGTTCTTTACTTATTCAAAAGATTATCTACAGAACTTCCACACATACATGTATATAAGGACATTAATTGTTGTTGACAGTGCTGACTCTGCAGTTAGAACCAACTGCTTGAGTGAGTTGTAATTGTGAATACAATCCAACACCATATAAATGAATTAAACTTTAGGAGATATAATTCAAAAAAGCATTAGCAAAAGTGATTGTACTTCTTTTGACATATCTTAATGTTCACGTATAACATGTAAACCTTAAACTATATCCATGCATCTGAAATCCATATATTAAGGAGACAGCTGATCATGAGCCTAAACTTTTCAGCCTCATCATTTAGCAGTATAGAGGTAGTATCGTGACAACTACTAGTTATTAACATGAAGCAAATGACACTCAGGTAAGGTCAACAATAGGAAATCATTATAGGATGAGACTTGCTCCTTAAACTGTGATTTATACTCATTATACATCCTTGGTGTTCTGCTTACCATCCGGGTTAATATAAGAATAGGCAATATAATGAAAATTAATATTCAAGTACATCTGTATGTTGTTTACAGTCACCTTTTTAAAGGTTCGGCTTTAATTTTACTCATTGTACTTTAGAAGTCAGGTCCCGACCGTTGTTGCTACCTTGACGTGGTGGTCGGGCTTGCCTATCGTGATGAAGTAACCGAGCTATACTGGCTGGAACAACCGTTCCTCAAGGTTCTACCATGTCAGACAGGTCGGTTGAAGAGCGGTAAGACTAAAAGCAACAAACCTAAGGTCCGAAGGCGAAGTCGTACTGCTGACTGTACAGAGGTGTGACAGCGGTAAGGTGTTTCCTTCAGACAACCAGCATGACAGCGATGCTGCCTTCTCACAAGGAGGGGTGGGGTCAGAAAAGGTCGACCCTAAAAATGCACACCTTACCTTACCTCACGGATTTCCGTCTCCGGCGGTAAGGTTCTTTGAAGAACGGAGCTAACCTTCCACGAAAACGCCGTGCGCGACCGGTCTCAAGCAGTTGTCCCTTGGGCACTGCGGTCACGCTCTCAGGTCGCTGAGACCGCCTCTAATCCAATTTCCTTTTCAGGTACCTCCAGAAGAACCCTTCCACGGTGTGGGCAACCGGGAAGTGATAACCGCCCTCATACCTCTAACAGCACCCAAGACCACTGTAATCATAATCAACCTTCCTCTTCAATTCCTATTATTCCTCCTACATCGACTTTCAACCCTAAACTTCCTCCTTCGGCTTCTTCCTCAAGTGTCACCATAGCCAACGATTCTAGTGCTCAAAACTCTGTCCCAGGTCTACTGAAACCTCGCTCCAAACTACACATTGGAGCTTTCAACGTACGCACTCTATGTCAAATCGGTCAGCAGCCTTCCTTGGCTAAAACCCTAGTCTCTTTCCATTGATGTATGCTGTGTCTCCGAAACACGCATACAGGATTCCAGTGTGGTCATTCACTTGACCTCACCTCGGCAAAACGGAGAGCCAACGAGATACACCCTACGTGTATCTGGTGACCCGATGGCCAGTTCTCGTGGACTGGCAGGTGTAGGCATAGCACTAAACATGAGGGCGGAACAAGCACTGCTAAAGTGGATCCCCGTCAACAGTCGTCTATGTGCTGTTCGGCTAAACGGCTCCGTAAGAACTTGGAAGGATAGGGACACACGTCGTTGCCTTTTTGTTGTTTCTGCCTACGCTCCCACTGACTGCAGCTCAAATGATGTGAAAGATGAATTTTACAGAAAGCTTTCTGAACTTCTTCAGAAAGCTAAACGCTCAGACATAGTACTCGTAGGGGGTGACTTTAATGCTCAGATAGGTAGCTTAAACCAAACAGAAAGGCATTTAGGTGGATATTTTAGCATTCCGGCACAGCGAACAGATAATGGTGATCGTCTGCTGCAACTGTGCTCAGACAATCGCTTATTTTTAGCAAACACAAATTTTAAGCATAAGGAGAGACATCGTCTAACATGGCGACCCCCTACACCAAACCAACGATGGACTCAAATAGACCATATTGCCACCAGTCATCGTTGGAGAGGGTCGGTAGAAGATTGTCGCTCATTCTGGAGTACCTGTTTGGACTCCGACCACGCCCTAATACGGGCACGCATCTGCTTGCGCCTCACCGAACGCAAAAAAGCCACATTAAAAAGACCCATTAGAACTGAGTTGAGTAACGAGAAAACCAAAAATAGGTTCCAAGAACAACTGAGTTCACACTTAGGTAGTTCTGAAGACGAGGCTGGCCCAGGTGTTGCTTGGAAAGACATACAAGCAGCTGTGGAAGCAGCAGTGATATCTATTAGCAACTTAAACCACAGAGTTTCAAAGAACCAGTGGATTTCTTCAAAGTCTATCTCACTGATGGATTCTCGCAAACTCGTCCCATCAGGTTCCGAACATGATGAAGAGCGACAACAAATCAGATCTAGGTTAAGAAAAAGTCTAAGAAACGACCGTGAGCAGTGGTGGGCAACGAAAGCAAAAGAGATGGAAAAGGCGGCGACTATAGGGAACACAAAACAGCTTTATAGACTAATAAAAGAAACTGGAATTAATAAGTCAAGTGTAAGTGAGATTATATCGGAAAAAGACGATACACTCATCTGCTCCCAGTTCAGGCGTTTAGAACGATGGGCGGAACATTTCAGAGAACAGTTCAGCTGGCCTTCAGCTACTCTACAACTACCCTCCATTCCCAGACAGCGTGAATAGAACATTGAAGTAGGTCCCCCAACTCTTGCTGAAGTTCAAAAGGCTATAGATAATCTGAAACGAGGAAGGGCAGTTGGTCCAGATGGACTGGCTCCAGAAGTCTTTAAGGATGGTGGTCCAATTTTAGCGATTAGATTGACTAATATTTTAGCTAAGATCTGGGAGTTAGACGTTATTCCATCTGACTGGTCACAATCAATTATCGTCCCAATATATAAGAAAGGGTCAAAATCATCCTGTGACAACCACAGAGGGATTAGTTTAACTAATATAATATCTAAAATACTAGACTCAATAATAATCAGACGCCTAACTAAGACTCGTGAACTGCAAACACGAGAAAACCAAGCTGGCTTCAGACCTGGTCATGGCTGCATCGACCACATATTCACCATCCGTCAGGTTCTAGAACACAGGCATACTTATCGGCGTCCGACGATGGTGGTCTTTCTTGACTTAAAAGCAGCATTTGACTCTGTAGACCGCGAGATTCTGTGGCAGTGTCTGTCACTGAAAGGCGTACCCCAGAAGTACATAAACCTTGTAAAGGCTCTTTACTCGAACACTACTAGTCGAGTCAGGGTTTATGGCGAACTGTCATCTACTTTTGCAACCTCAAGTGGTGTCCGTCAAGGATGTCCACTTTCCCCATTTTTGTTTAACTTTATCATAGATCTACTGACGGAAATAACTTTCTCGCCGACTGAGTCCTCGGGTATTGATCTCCATCCAGGAGGTCCACTTATCGACTTAGAATACGCAGATGACATAGTCCTGTTTGGTGAAGACGCTGACAAATGCAGAGTCTTTTGGTAGCACTGAGCAACAATGCCAGGATGTTTGGAATGCGCTTCTCTCCTTCTAAATGCAAGTTGTTACTTCAGAACTGGTCTGCGTTAACACCTGAACTAAGGATAGGGAGTGAAGTAGTCGAACGCGTTGACAACTTCACTTATCTTGGAAGTCTGATCAGCCCTAATGGGTTGGTATCGGACGACATCTCAGCACGGATTCGAAAAGCTCGTTTGGCTTTTGCCAACTTACGTCACCTGTGGCGAAGGCGAGATATCCGTCTATCAATAAAAAGACGAGTATACTGCGCGGCAGTTCGTTCTGTTTTAATTTACGGCAGCGAAACATGGCCATTAAGAGTAGAAGACACTCGTAAGCTATTAGTATTTGACCACAGATGCCTTAGAAATATTGCTGGCGTCTGCTGGGATAACCGGGTAAGTAATAGTGAGGTTAGACGCAGGGTATTAGGAAATGATGGTAAATCAGTTGATGAGGTTATGAATCTTCATCGACTGAGATGTTTGGGCCACGTGTTACGTATGCCTGAACACCGATTACCACGACGTGCAATGCTATCCGGTATTGGAAATGGTTGGAAGAAAGTTAGGGGCGGCCAAACCAAAACGTGGCATCAGTGCTTGAAGTCACTAACTTCTAGTCTGAGCCATGTTGGTAGATGCAGACTACTTGGTTGGGGTCCGCGTGACTATCGTAACCAATGGTTGGAGACTCTTGGTGACATGGCTCAGAATCGATCACAATGGCGTCGGTGTATACACTCCCTGTCTTCCCTTAAACTAAGAGATTAAAATCGCTTCATATCATTCTTTCTACGAACCAATTCTTTCTTCTTGTACTATATCTCTATATGCAATCTTTCTCTTATATATTACCACCTTTTACCTAACCACTGTTATGAATCCGGTGTTCATCTTGTTGTGTTGATGCGGTATGGCAACCTGGACCGATGCACATATGTGTCTGGTCCTACGTTGTAGCTGACTGACTGACTGAGAAGTCAGGTACAAGTTTGTAAACTCACCTTTAGGTCACACTTTTGATCCAAGACTAACAGATCGGCAAGACTATAATTTATGGACGAGCCAATCAGAAGCGTTTGAAGGATTTCAAGGTCACGGCAACAATTTTAGCACCTGATGCTCACGTACGATCGGTTCACAGAGGACTTTAGAGAAGACACAATTGAATGGCTACAACAAATTAGACTACTAGGAAGTTCCTTTATTTGTGATTGTGGTAATCAAATGACTTGTGCAAATCACTGTGATGTTGTCTTGCGAGGTATATATGTTGGAGGAAGATTTCTGCTAGAAGAGGAGCTTTTTTTGCTCGATCCAGATTGAGACTAAGGCAAATTATGATAATTGTTGCGAACTGAATAATAAAGGCACCAGTAACACGCTGCAAAACTTGCAGATGTTACTGGTGAGTATTTTGGAGACATATGTGCAGTAAATATGACAAGCATACACAAGTCGTTTGGGGAAGTCGGGAGAATCGTTAAAATAGACGAAACAGTTGTGGGAAAACGAAAATTCAACAGGGATGTAGTGTTAAAGACTGGGTAAGTAGCACTACCATAAATATATCTCAAAAGTTCTTGAAACATACGACAGATAATCTGAAAATAGACACTCCCAACGGGTTAGAAACCGATAGGCTACAACGATAATACAAATTATACAGGAATATGTGCAGCCGGGTACTACTATATATACAGGTGATTGGAGAGCCCGCCGATGCCTACGTAAACTTGATTATGTTCATTGTGTCGTTATTCACAAGCGGCATTTTGTGGACCCAGCAACCGGAGTACACACAAACAATATTGAAACTATATGGTCGATGCTAGAAGATTCTTTGCGACCTCACCATGCCTCCACAGGTCGACTACTATGGAGCCATATGAATGAGGTCCTCCATCGTAGGTATTATGATTTTAGAACCTCTGAACCTTTTTCTAACCTTGAAATTTTTTGAACCATGTACAAGTTTATCCACTTTAATTCTTTGATTTTGCATAACATATTTTTACCCCCACTGTTCCCTGATTGGTTATTTCTCAAGGTCATTTAAGACCCGCTCGAAGGTCGTTCGTAGGATGGTTTTATTACACAGTTTTCGTTTGTGAAGTTACTGATAAGTAGCTTAAGCAGTGCTGAGATACAGAATTTCTGTACATTTCCTCAGCAAATATAATCAGCGGTATCGAGACAGAAAACAACATAGTTCGAAACCGTTTGTCAAGTCTTACATCTATTTATCCTTTACACTTCCACATGTTCATCAGAGTCATTTACGCTGCCGTAGACCAGTAACCAATATTTCTACCTATATCAGCTTGCATAAATTTGATACACTACCGGGCAGGATGATGCGTTGCCGTTCCTACTCTCACTGATATCGCCCTGAGAAAATCTCAAATCAAGGCGATTTCCGAGAAGTCGCACACCAATAGTTGTGTGAAGACTACTTATACCTGATGTCTAAATATAAATTTTTCATCCTAAATTTCCACCAATCAACCAGCAAAATAGTCGAGCTAACGCTCTCATTAGAAGCTAGGAGGTCGAGGATAATCAGTGTTTGATAACGCTGTTGTCCACAACATATTTATGATCGAGGATCTTAAAGTCATTTATTTACTGCTACGAGCGATTCATCCTAGTCAGACCTTAGTTTGTCGTGGTTGCATACAAACCTGCGCTTTGTTTTCGATATTAGTCTTTTGAAAATACAACAAGTAGTGATGAAATGTCCAGAAAGCAAGGGCAATGCACAAAATAACCAACCTTCTGGAAATAACTAAGTACTCCATACCACTTGCTATGCATTTCAAAAGTGGCGCCAGTGAAAGAGCCAACGGTTATATGCCTCAATTCTCAATTACTTGGTTGCAAAACAGCTTTCAGAATGTGCATTATGATCATTTTCTGTGGCAATTATTGAGCTTCTCAGTAATGAAGTAACGCAGATTCATACACTGATCGCACAAAAAGCAATATTTATTGGCTTAATGCTCTCAGCAGTTGTGCAACTCGTCTGAGCTTTCAGTTTCAGTTTGGGAAGGACAGGAGGCTTGATGGCCTGTTTTAGTCCTGACAGTGGTGGTCTCTCAGTTGATCCAACTTTTTTTTGAAAGAGTCGACGGATGGAGCATCAACCACGTGCTGAGGTAATGAATTCCACCCGATGATTCAGTAGGAACGTCGATAGTCAGCTGACAATTAATTTGTTCTGGGCTTGTGAACTTTTTAGGAGTGTCCTCGTAACTTCTCTGTTTTGGAAGACAAGAAAAATGAGGGCATATCGGGTGCAAATTTATCACTAAGCAATCTGAAGACTGTAATCAAGTCGCCTCTGGTTCTTCGATATGACAACGGGAATAGGTTTAGATTGGCAAGTCGAGCTTCATACGGAAGCTTCGCTATTCCGTAAGTCATCTTATTTGCTGTTTTCTGAACTTTTACCAAAAGCTCACTGTCTTTTTTAAGCAGGGGCTAGCCGCTTGTATGCAGTACTCAAGTTTAGGACCTACGAACACTGTATACAAAGTCAAAAACGTTTTAGCGTCGATATGACTAAAAGCCCTACATACAGACCATAAGGTTCTAAAACCTTTGGCGGTTTTTGCATGGCAGTGTGCAGTAGTCTTTAAGTCTTGATTAACGATGTTTCCTAAGTCATTATATGTCTGGACAACAGGTAGCTCAGTGTTATTCATAGTGTATGTATCTGTACCTTGATGACCAATATGCATCACAACACACTTGGAAGTATATATTGGCAACTCTCAGGTTTGAGACCATTCAGATAATTTTTTCAAGTCATTTTGGAGTTCTAAGCTATCACCCTTACATCGTATCGTTCTCCATATCTTGACATCGTCAGTATATAGCAAGACCGAAGATGATAGGAGACGAGGAAGGTCGTTTACATACAAGAGGAATAGCACTGGCCTCAAAACTGTGCCTTGGAACATTCCACTAAACACAGTTTCCCAGCTAGATAACTTGGAGTTCACTTGTAGTCTTTGTTGGCGCCCAACAAATTAAGCCTTCTATACACACCAGTAGATTGCTTCCAATTCCGATATTTCTTAACTTATATAACAGCCGGTTGTGCGGAACTTTGTCAAAAGCTTTGCTGAAATCAATGTACGCTACATCTAGAGGTAACTTTTGGTCCTTAAGAGCGGACCAGCTTTCACGAGCCACTAATAAGTTTGTGAGACAAGAGTAACCTATCCTGAAACCGTACTACTTCTCCGAAAGGATTCGGTTTTTATCGAGATACTTAAACAGCGCCTTCCGTATAATATTTTCTAAGATTTTAACAACCACACTAGATAGGCTAACGGGGCGGTAATTCTCAGGTTTGTGTTTTGTACCTGTTTTTAAGACAGGACTTACTATGGTGTTCTTTCAGTCTTTTTGGTAGACGAGCCTGCGCAACGGATAGGTTAAAGAATATACTTAAAGGGCTTGCAACGAATTTAGATAATTCCTTCAGTAGCCTGGGATGTAATTCATCGGGCCCCGTAGATTTACCTATGTCAAGCTTATTTAGCAGACCAAAGACATCGAGTTCTTTAATGGTCACGCTATCCAGTGTATGTGTGGTGAGATTTGTGTGCGCTGACGGGAAGAGTGCTTCTATGGTAATACACTGCTAAAATAGTTTGAGAACACTTTAGCCTTACCAAAGTCGTCCTCCACTAATGATGCGGCAGTACTGTCTCCCCATAGAACAGGAATATTTCCTCCTCTCTTTGTCTTTTGGTTTATATAGGAATACAAGCGTTTAGGACATTCTATGGATTCCTTAACAATTTTTTCTTCTTACAACTTTCTAGACCTACGGAGGGTCGAGGCACAGGTATTCCGAGATTTTCGATACAAAGATTTTGTCTCATCCGTTCCCAGTAACCTAAATCCATCTCACATTTTTCTTCTCTTACGGAGAAGGATGCGGACCTCCCTACTGAACCATGGTAGCGAGTTTCTCGACCCTCTTGGTAAAGTTCAAGGAATGTGGTGTGCAGTAACTTTTAAGTATAAATTCGCAATGCGTCCCAAGCCGTTTCAGTTGAGGACTCTGGGTTTATTTTCTAATCTACTAACGTTGCTGAGTGCATGATATCTGGTATGTTTACTTTCCAGATGTTAGGTCTGGATCGACCTAACGCGTGCTCTTGACTGACAGTTATATGGAAGTCGAAAGTTAAAACTGCGTGATCACTTTTACCTAGGGGCGGAATGTAATGGAGGTTCGCAACGTCATCCTCATAGTGAGTCGATATAAGACCTAGTAAGGATGATTCAGAGTCCGGGTCGTACTTAGTCGCTTCTTTCACATGTTGCACTAGGGTACATGTGATAACCGCATCAACTAGTTCCTGCTCAAAAGAATTATCTGACGATTCAGTTCGCAAAATTTCTCAGTCTACCATAGGCCCATTAAAGTCCCCTAGGATTAGACATCGACCACTTTTTGACCAAGTATTGAGACTGCTCAGCAGGACCTCGTTTACCTCACACCTTGGACTGAGATTGACCAAACCAATCAGCAGCTCTTGTCTCTTGCATTCCAAGCGGCAGCTAACGAATTCACACGTCCCACTCTCATGGGATACACTATCGATAATGGCAAATGGGATAACATTCCTAATGAGTAGAGCTACTTCCCCTCCTTTACGCTTTTGTATTCTGTCAGCCCTTACTAACGTAAAACCCTCGAAATCAAGTGCCGCACTATCTGTAGCCTGTGTCAGCCAGGTTTCTGTGATTGCGATTATGTCTGGCTTTGAAGAGTCAACCTGTACACCTAGTTCCGGTCGCTTATTAAGTATGCTCCGGGCATTAGTGTAACAGATCCGAAGCCTGTTTAAGTGGCTTCGTGCTTCACCCAGAGCGGCTTAGGCATCATTCTCTGTCGAAGCCTTACAACCCGAAAATTTACAATTTTCTGGTCCTTTTCGCCAGCGTCTAACCCAAGTTGTAGTTTTTTTCGGCCAACGGTAAGCCCATGAGGATAAAGACTCCTGAACCCTTTAATTTGTGTCCATTCTGTAAAATTATGTCACGTTTGTTCAAAGAGTTGAATACTACTCTAAGCAGTCTGGAATGATTTGGTTCCAAGTCCGCTAGACTCCCTAGTCTGTACACCTTCGACAAGGTGACCCCGGAGATATTTTGAGGCATAAGTTGATTAAGCAGCTGCTTAATCAGCACAATGTCATGCTCAAAAAGAGCTTTAGGTTCAGAGCTCTTGCTCCCCTTGATTCTATGAAAAATAGATGATCTGTCGCGTTGATCAGCTTTCGATTTTACGACCACTTTCGCTATGGGTAGGATTACCTTTTATATCGCTACTTATTTTCTTCCTTACAACCTGTACCCATTCGTCAACGGTGCTGTGAGAATCAACAACAGTTACATCAAACCTAATGTTGGATTCTGGAGGCTTGTCAACGACCTGAGAGGTCAGGTTATGTTTACCGTTTGAAACCGATCGAGCCTTGCGATTGCGGCTTCTAGGCGTTTCTTGTTGGATCCCATCTGGGAGACGGGGAACAGAAGAATCTGCTTTCCTTGAGCTTTTGTTTAAAACAGGCCCCTTTGGAGACTGCTTTTCCTTCTTTGGCCGGCGTGAGTTATCTATTTTCGAACTAACCTTAGTTTGCTTCACGTCTATTTGCGTGTCGACAGATCGAGTGCTGTTTGACGTGTTCCGACTACGCTTGCTAAAACACGACATGTATTATTTTTAATTTTTAAGTACTGTGATATTATTTTTGCATTTCAGGACATTTTAAGGGTTAGGACTTACGCCTCCCACTTCTCATCTTTCATCCTGGCAAGATAATATCGAAACCCGTTTCTGCTATGTACAGGACAACGTCTACGAGCACAGTGTGATAGACCTACTTGCGCAGTTACTCGCATTAGTCAAGGAACTGCCTCGTGGTTTTTACAGGCAAGTTACACTTAGAATATTTACTAATGATATTCATGAATCTAAGACACCCCAAAAATTCTAGGGGTTAGAGTTTTTAGGGTGATTATCACTTCCTGGTTGCCTATATCCTGTAAGGGTTTTTGAGGCACCTGAAATGAAAGCCGGGCTAGAATTGGTCATAGTGATCGGAGAGCGTGACCTCAGTGCCCAAGGGACATGTGCCTGAGACCGGTCAGACACGACCTTTTTGTAGGTAATTTTTGTGTTAGCTTCATAGTTTTCGAGATCTTGCCGCCGGAAACAAGTATCCGTATGATGAGGCAATGTGTTTAATTTTAGGATCAACCTTTTCTAACTTCACCTCTCCTTCATGGGAAGGCAGCATTGTTGTTATACCAGTAGTCTAAGAGAAACACCTTACTGCCACCATATTTCAATACAGTCAACAGTACGATTTTGCCCTCGGACCTTGAATTTGTCACTTTTTGCCTTACCTGTGATGGTAGAACCCTGAGAAACGCTTGTTACAGCTAATATAGTTTGATTGGCTCATTACGATAGGCAAGCCCGACAACCGCATCATTGTAGTAGCAGTGGCTGAGATACCTGAATAATGGCCATCCTTAAACGAAGAGACGAAATTGACTGACAAGTATAAACCTGCTCTTCCACATTAAAATCTCCCACACGACTCAGTAACAATAGTGTTACTACGCATGTGGAAGTCTCAGATCAACGAACTTTCAATGAATGTCCCTTTATGCTTTCTCGACTTGCGCAAGCGTTTCTCGTCTCAATCCCAATTGACTCCATAGTCGAATTAGCTGAATCTGCCGACCAAATTCTAGAAATCATCATACCCTTCAGCACCGATGTTTGTACTGTCAATAAAAGGCTTCATACGATA